TTCTCAAATGTTCAGGATTTCAACATATCACTAATGCATCACTGTCACGACATTGAAATTATGTTTTATCTTTTTTTTAACTAGTCTAATTTTTATTAATATTTTTAAACATCAAAAGATGATCCAACGAATGCTTAAATCGTCAATGTCCAAGGAGAGCCCTTGGGGCCGTGGATATCGTACCATAATCATCCCGAACACACAGAATTCCATCAATTGTTATTGCAAGGCTGAAGCTCTACCTTTCTTACTTTTAACTTAATTTTCACTTAATTTAATGATACTTATGTAATTTTAAGTTTCTAAAACCTTTTTCATTCAATTTTTTTTTTTAACTTATAGATCTTAATTTAACCCATAAAATCATTTGTAATCACTTACATGAGAATCACCAGGCATAACTATATTTTTACCTGAATCACATTCCTTAGGGCACTACATAAAATCAGATAATGGTGATGAGTTTATGAGTCTTTTTAATGAATATTATAGGCAACAATGTATTACATAAAATCAGATTACGGTGATGACAATACTAATCACTCCTCAATATAATGTAGTTGTAGAGAAGATGAATGCACAATTATGGAGAATATTAAAAGTATACTTTCACATGTCAAATTACTAAAAAGGTTTTGAGATGAGATAGACATCTATTGATCTCATTAATCTTTCTTCATCTATATCTTTGAATGAAAATATTGTAGATAATGTATGGATAAGGAAAGAAGCTTCTTACAAACACTTATGGATGTTTGATTGTCCTACATTTACACATATTTTTGATGTTGATAGATCCAAATGAATAGTAAGATAAAAGATTGTATTCTTCTTAGATACTCATATGACAAGTTTAGTTACAGGTTGTGAGATTTATAGAAGCAGTTGTTTAAAAGTAGAGATGTATCATTTGTTGAAGATCAGAACATCGGAGTTATAAATAAGGAAGTAATAGTTAAAAGATTTGTAAAAGTTTTTGTAAATTGTGACCAAGTCACTCTTCATATATATCATGATGAAGGGAGAGATATACAATAAGAAAAAATTGAAGTTGATGAAGATTTACTTAAAAGATGAGTAGTGTAGATGCTTATTTTAATTCATAGAAGGAAATGTAGCTTCATATAATTATTTTAGAAATGTAGAAGCTAGAAGAGGAGGTATTTCTCCTTTAGAAAAAATAAAAATAAAAATAAATAAAAAATTAAAAATATATTTTTTTAAAAATAAAATTAAAAACTAAAAACTAAAAATCAAAAAAGTAAAATATAAAATATATATATTTAAAAATAAAATTGAAAAAATAAAAATAAAATAAAAATAAAATAATAAAAAATAAAATAAAAAATGAAGACAATATAATATATAAATTTATGAATATATTATATTGTATTATCATCATAATAGGCGACAATCATTCCCACACCTAGATTGGGTACTTGTCAAAGCATATGTTTTGTGTTAAAATATATAGATGATATGTATGTGAAAAGTTCAAATATGGGACTAAATGATTTTTTCTTGTTTCATGATACCGGTTCACGGTGGTTTGATCTTGTGACACAGCATGCCACGTCACAAGAAAAAGAGAGATCTAACAATGAGTGAAGCATCATGATATTGGGAATATAAGTTTTCACATGTATCAACATCATGGGTATAAATGTAATTATTGATTATTGTCTAGTAAAATAGACTATTATCTATTATTATTAAAATTTTGATAGCATTCATGATTATGTTAATCCATTTTTCCTCTCTTTCATGCAATCAAAGCCTTTGATTGTCGACAAGCTTATTCCTTCCTCCCCCAATTACACTCAAGGCCTCTGACAACTAGTCAAGTCATCTCTTCTCCTCTCAGACGATGGTGATAGTGTGGTTGACCCCTCTTCTCAACAAATCTCTTTGTTGAGTGGCATAACATTTCTAAATGATACTCCTATGATGTTTTGCATATTATGACACAATCAGATGAAACCAGATCATCACATCAATATCTCTAGTTATCTAGGAGGTATACTAACATTGGGCAGTACTTATTTTCTTATTTTAATCACTAATTTATATTTTACGTCAAGTTATTTGCATCTTTAAAAATCTATAAAACTGATTCAAAACTTGATGAATGATCTTTATTTCTCTTTTCAATATTTTGAAACTCGTATGAGATCAATCTAAACTTGTGTCCAACTTATTTTCTCTTGATTTTTTCAATTGAATCTTGAAAAATTCATGTTCCTAATATTATGCCAATAATAGTTTTTATGCTGATTTTGAACACAAAATTTGTGAGATTAAAGACAGATTAATGAGTGTTTAAGTTTGAAAATAAGGTGGAGACATTCACACTTGATCTCATATCATGTGTGAATTCTCAAAAAATATTTGTCCAAAAAATATGGTCAAAACCGAATTATGAGTCAATTCAAAATCATTGTAAAAATGAGTTGATTGTGTCTTCTCTTTCATTATTATTCATTTAAACATTCTCCTTCTCTCTCTCCTTCTCATGAGATCCTTCTCTCTTTCTCTTGAAATATCTCTCTCGAAATCTCACTTTCTCTCAAGTTCCCTATCTTTTTCTTCCTTTCTCCCTCTCTCTTTTTCTATTTACAGTTCTCTATCTTTCTCTTGAGATATCTCTTTCTCAAGATCTGGATCCCTCTCTCTCTCCTCCCCTAAAAATCCTTTCACCTTTAAAAATATTCTTCTCTTTTCTCTCTCCATTCCTCCACCATCTCCCTTTTCTTTTCTTCTATTTTTTTATATATAATTATTTACATCTTTAATATTTATAGGTATATTCTTTATTTTTATCAAAAAGGGTTAAAAACTAAAAATCATTGTTCATATAAATTAAATCAAGTTTTCATGACAAATTAATCTTCTTGTGTTTGACTTGGGACTTACATCTATACTAAAATATTATTAAGATAGTTATAAATTATATTAGATGTTGGGTATTTAAATATAATAATAAATTGACATCAATCATCAAAAAGTGAGGGAGCTACTTCTAATAATATCTTAACATAGAAGATTAGACAACATCAACATTCATGAATGTATCCACTAGATGAGTATATTATGCTTACTAATGTAGGTGAATTAAAAAGTTAAGCCATTTAAGACTAAGCATAATGAAGAATGGTTAGTAGCTATGAATAAGGAAATAGAAGCATTATAGAGAAATCAAACATATGACCTTGTAAAGTTACTTAAGGAGAAGAAAACTTTGAAGAACAAGTTGTTTTTCAAGTTAAAGACTCAAGAAAATTATTCTTTACTAAAGTATAATGCTAATTTAGTTATAAAGAACTTCAACCAAATGAAAGATATTAACTTTGATGAAATTTTCTCACATGTTATAAAAATATCTTCTATTTATGTTGCTCTAAGCATAGTTGTTAGTATCGACTTAGAGGTTGACTAACTAGATGTAAAGATTATGTTTCTTCATGGTGGTTTAAAGGAAAAGATTTATATTGAGCAACAAGAAGGTTTTAAGGTAAAAGGTAATAACTATCTTGTGTGCAAGTTGAAGAAGAGATTGTATAAACTGAAACAAATTCCAAAACAATGGTATAAGAAGTTTGATTCATTAATAATTGATAATAAATACAAATGTAATGCTACATATCATTACATCTACATCAATGCTTTAATGATAATTTTATAATTCTCTTGTTCTATGTTGACGTTACACTTATATTTGACAAAAATATGTTAACAATTGATAAGATGAACAAGTCATTTGTTATGCAAGACATGGGGCCAACAAAGCAAATACTTGATATATAGATTTTTTGTGATAGAAAATCATGAAGATATGACTATCACAAGAAAAATATATAAAGAAGGTGTTAGACAGATTTAGTATGAGTAATACAAAATCTATTGGTTCTACTTTTGTAAATTAATTTTTTAATTTTTTATTTCTTTCTTATTATTATTCTTTGGCTATTGACACTAACTCTTGAAATGTCTATTGTCACCACAATTGTAACAAATAATTTCATTCATTCACTCACTTTGGCTTACTTCTATCATTGGAGTGACTTTTATTTCTTAACTTTAAACTCCTATTTTTTGTCAAATGACTGTGCTTCACTAATTGAGTTTCTCTTTCTCAACTACTCACTCAGCAAATTACTTGTTACTTGGCTCATAATATCAACACCATCTAACATAGAATTAATGAGAGATACCATCAATGTCTTTCAATTATTCAGCAACAAACTAAGTAACAATGATTGTAGCTCATCATCAATACTCATCTTTATAGAGGTTAACTTATTAGTAATAATATTTTGCATCTCATTCAAATGTTCATCAGTAAAAGTATCATCCTTACACTTCAGATTTACAAACTTTTTGATCAAGAATATTTTGTTATCTACTATATTTCTATCATAAAGACTTTTTAGCTTTTTTCTAAAAGAGTGTGTAGAACTTCCCTTGGATATATGGTGGAATACATTATCATTAAGTGATTGTCTCATGAAACTAATTATCTTTCAATGTAGCCTTTTCAAGTCATCACTTGGCTCTGATACCACTTATTAAAGTAAAATGTTCAATCTAAACTTACGAAAAATGTGCCGGGCGTTGGGATTCAATTACTCACCTCGAGAAATCCAACTACCCGTTCTTGGACCCCACTTCTCTCTCCGCATTTAATGCGTTTCATGTTCTTACACAGCCGCCATATGAGCTGAGTATTTGGGCCACGTGCTCACTTAATGAGTCATGTGCCCAACTTCGCCGGCGTAGATGTTCCGGCGGTCGTGTCTCTCGTCATGGGGAACGGGGTGGCTCGTCATTGATGGAAATTTAGACGACGACAATCGGAGGAACCAAGCACACTGACGATGATCAATGAGGCTAAGAAGCCTCCTCTTACAACAGCGGAAGGACAACCTAAACGAGCAGAAGAACAATTTCAGAAAGCGGGGAGGAGTCGGAATGCTGCTAGAAAATCCCCATGGATCGATCGTCTACTTGGCGGCGCCGTTGACCGGCAGTTCTTCATCCACAGCGAGAGGAACCGACTTCGCCTGAAAAACCAGCAAGGGCAGAGAGATTAGGGTTCATCGATTCGATTCAGCGCACGGATCACTATAATTCTTGCGGCTGGCTCACCAGGTTGCGGTATTTGAGGGCGTAGAACATCTCCAGGTAGCGGCGGGTTTCCCGCCGCTCCAGGTTGGAGACGTACTTCCAGAAGCCGTAGACGCCGGAGAGCGTCATCAACCTCTCGGAGTACAGCTTCCAGGTGTACCTGAATTAGGGTTAGAGTTAGGGACTGCCACTGTCCTGGCCATGGAGGAGGAAGCATATGGTAAGAGCTTTGCTCACTTGTCGTAGATCCGCTGAAGGCCGGCCTGGGAGATTTTCTCCCAGTGCTGGGGGTCGGCCTTGGACTTGTCGAAGAACTGCACGAGGATGTCGGCCACTTTTTCGCCGTTGTATGGATCGATGTGGAAGCCGGAAACGCCGTCGACGATGATCTCGCCGGGGCCTCCGTGAAGAGTCGCGAATGTGGGTAGACCGCAGGTCATGGCCTCGACCACGGTGAGCCCGAAGGCCTCGTAGAAGGCCGGCTGGAGCAAAAAAGAACCCATAGCTCGCTCAGGAGGACGAAGAAGATCAAGAAGATGATGAAGAAGAAGAAGAAGAGGAAGAGTAACAGGATGAGGAAGAAGAAGAGGAAGAAGAGAATGTTACCTGGACGAAGGCGCCCTTGGTGTCGGCGATGTAGCGGTAGAGCTCGGCGTTGCGGACGCGGTTCATCTGGGCGGAGATCCAGCGGATCTGCCCGTTGAGGTTGTAGTCTTTGATGAGGGAGTGCATCTTCTTGAACTCGGCCTGCTCCTCGAGATCCTTGGACTCCTTCCCGTGGTCGCCGCAGACGACGACGAGGTTCACGAGCTCCCGGAGCCGCGGGGACTTGGCGTACAGCTCGACCAGCCCAGTCATGTTCTTCACGCGGTCCAGCCTCGCCATGGAGAAGATGATGGGCTTCTTCCTGTCCTCGAGAACGCATCTGCGTAGAAACCAGAGGAACCCGTCAATCACAGTCGGCTTTGAGAGGAGGAACTGTTCTCAGAAGCGGGTATTCAGAAGCTCCGACTACTACTGACATGTGCTCTTCGTTCTCGACATTGCTGAAGAGCAGCTCCTCGATCTCGGAGTGAAGCGCTGTCAGCCTCTTGCTCTTCTCCGAGTAGGGGAAGTAGACGGACATGTCGGCACCGGGAGAGACGATGTTGAACTTGGGGTCGAAGACGTCGATCCCATGGACAACCCGGTAGAGCCCCGGCATCGTGAAGGCCGTGTGGCTCTCGTACTGCCCCACTGTGTCCTTGCTGCAGAAGCGGAGAGAGAAAGCTTCAGCTTCAGGTCTCTAGAGAGAGAGAGAGATGGCGCGCGGAGCTCAGAAAAAGGAAGAAAAGTGGGGAGACCTTCCGGCGATCTCCTGGTAGGTGCTGGTGATGATGAAATCGGCGTGGTTCATGGCGATCAGGTCGGCGGTGAACTGGCACGAGAAGTGATACTGCTCTTCGAACTTCTTCCAGTATATGTCCGAGCTAGGGTACTTGGTCTTCTCCAGGGCGTGGGCGATGGTGCACTGAAGAATTGCAGAAAGATCAGTCAGGGCAGAGAGGAGGAGCGAGAAAGAGACCCCGCTGGACGCGGGGGGGGGGGGGGCAACTGCCAGCTGCATACCTGCGTCACTCCCAGTTTATGCGCCAGCAGCGATGCGACGAGGTTCCCGTCGCTGTAATTGCCGATGATCAGGTCGGGCTTCGCCTGTAACTCTCCGGCGATCTCATTGGCCACGTCCTGCAGATGAGGAAGGAGGAGAATCAGTTCGTTCTGCTTTTTCTTACCAGAAATCACGAATATAATCAGAAAAACGATCGATCCAGGGAAGAATGAATGCTGGAGGATGAATGCTCTCCTCTGCAATACCTCGGCGAAGGTCTCCAGGTAAGGCCAGACTTCGAAGCGGGAGATCCATTTTCGGAGGATCCCCTTTTCGGTGCGGAAGGGCACCCGCAGGATGTGAGTATGTTCCGTCTCGAGGACCTTCTCGAGCCGCTGGCTGCACGTCGTCCCCGTCGCATCCGGTAGCAGCCGGGTCACCTGCACCACCACCGCCATCTTCAGTCGGGGAGGAAGGTCGAAGAAAGGCACAGAGGAAACCAAAGGAAGGGGAAGGGGAGGCTCACGATGAGGATCCGGGGGGTGATGTTGAGGCCCTGCTGCTTGATCCTGAGGAGCATCTCGTTCTCCAGCGCGCGTACCTGGTCGAGGATGTAGACGATCTGCGGCAGCGGAAAGGGATGAGCGGTGGTGCCGGGCTCGAACAGAGGAAGAAAAGGGGGGAGTATTAGGGCAGAAGACCCACCTGGCCGCCGGTGTCGGGGTAGCCGAGGACGTTGGCCTGGGCGAAGTAGCCGTGGGGGGAGAGGATGACGACGTTGAACACCATGGGGATCCTCCCCAGGAAGCTCTCCAGCGTGCACGGGTCGGGGGCTTCCAGCAGGTCCAGCAGCAGGTAGATCATCTCCACCACCCGCCCCGCACAGTCCCCCCACCCCTTCTCCAGCCCTAGTTCCTGGAATCTGCCCACCATGGAGAAGACGACCTTCAGTAAGAGCTCTCTCTCTCTCTCTCTCTCTCTCTCTCTCTCTCTCTAACATTCTCTATTGCTCGGTGGATCAGTAGTTACCTGTGGTCGAACTCGGAGTATGGAGTGTCGGCGGGGATGGCGAGGAGATGCTCCGCTGCCTTCCTCAGCGCCGCCCTGAGGGCGCTGAGGCTGCGGATTCTGTCGTTGAGCATCATCGTCTGCAAGATACAGAGCCGTCTCGAGGGTTAGAGCTCTGTTGCGTTGCGGGGGCATGGGGAGGAGAACCAGGATTCTTACCATGCCGTTGTAGTTGTGCTGTCGGAGGAAGTTGAGCAGCGGCTCCATGCTCTCCTTGTCGTTGAAGAGCTTGGAGGAGAGGTGCCGGTTGAGGAACTGCACGCCGTTGCCGATGGACTTGGACAACGAAGGGCGGGGGAAGGAAGCATTGAATGGCTCCAGGTCGAGCTCCAGAGTGAAGTTGCTATGACACCTGCAGGAAACCAGGTGGTCAAAGATTTGAAGAAGAAGAAGAAGAAGAAGGAGAACCCGCCAGAGAAGAAGACTCACCCGCCGTCGATAAGCTCTTCCTTGAACTGCAGGTACTCCGCCACGCTGAGCTCCTCCACGGCGAGCTCGTTCACGTTGACGCGGATGTATTCCCAGACACCAGGGCGGGGGCGGACAGCTAGGGCGACCCAGGGGGGGAGGACGATGGCTTCCTGCAGGGGGATGAGAGAGAGAAACCTTCTTAATAATTGTCTGTCTATCCGAGATGGACAGGGAGGGGGAGGGGAAGAAGGAGAGGGACGGGGGGGGCGGAGGGAGGGTCACCTGAGCAGCCCTGACGACCTCCCAGAAGACGCCGTCCTTAAGCCGCTGCTTGTCCCCCTCGGGGAAGACAGCGTCGAACTCCGACAGCAGCTGGTGCGGCTGCAGCATCCCCTTCCCCTGGTGGACGAACCTGCAGGAGGGCAAACCCTAGAAACTTCAGCAGGAGGCGCGATCATCCTGCAACAGCTTCCGATTCATGGGGAGAGGGGGAGAGAGAGAGAGAAGGGGGGGGGGGTTGACCTTGAGAACAGGGCGAGGAGCTCATTAGGGTGGGCAGAGAGGGTGTCGCCGAGGCGCTCCCTGAAGCTGTGCAGGCGCGTCAGCTGGCGCTGCGGCATGGCTGCTTCCCTTCGTTCAGCTCGGAGAAGACGACCAGATTTCCCTCAGAAACTGGACCAGAGCTTTCGGGAACGCTGCCTCTTCGGAGCTGTTAACCAGAAACGAACGACCATAGTCAACGAGAGGAGGGAAAAGAAAACACTCAACCCAGAACGAGAGAAGAGAGAGAGAAAGAGATAAAGAGAGTTGAAACTTATCCCCATTAAAGAATAAATTAATAAACAAGGGCATTAATCACGCAACGACTGGAGGAGCCGAGGAAAGATGAACAGACACTGGACGGGGAAGGGTGAGATCTGAATGGAAACCCAGAACCGAGGATTGGAACCCAGAACCCAGAACCCAGAAGAACGTGACAATATCTCCTTGCTCTTCCCGTTCGCCCTTCGATCATACCATCGGGAGATCGCCAGCGATGAAAGAAACAGTTCCGGTGGCGGGGGCCGAGTGGAGATGTTGACCGCCGCAGTGATGGACACTTTTCGGAAAGAAATGGAGACCGTGCCCTCCCTGGCTGGAAAGGGGGGAGCGGACTCCCATCTCCCGGGTGAGAAGGACATGGAGAGATCGCGGGAATGAAGGGCAATCGGAGAGGGTTTCTGGGCGACTCCCATCCTGAAACCTTCTGGGTCTCTCGTCCTGGATCCGATCTCTTTCCCTCTGAAGAAGAAGAGGAAGAAGAAGGAGAAGAGACTGGTCCTGAAGCGAGGGTGCCACTCTGGTTGGGCATTTTCTGCCCCGGTGGAGCATCTCCGTGGGAGGGAAGAGAATGAGGGGGGAATGGGTCAGCGTTCTCCTAGTGCAACTGCACAGAGCGCGATGATTACCTTCCACAGAACGCGCGGCACCGTCTCGACGGAATGAGAGGGAGATGAACAGTTGATCCCGTAGAAAAAGCTAGCAAGAGAGAGAGAGAGAGAGAAAAGAAGAGAAAATGAAAGAAACGGAACGAACGTAGTGAACGCAGTCGGGAGATAGGTGTTGACGATGAAGAGGAGTGCACCCTCGGCCCTGTATTTATAGCTACGAAGAGGGGCTGGGTTTTATCCCCCTCCGAAAGTCTAAGACAGCAGCAGGCACGGGATGATGAAGAGTGGGTGATGCTTTCCAGGAAGGAGGGCACCCACCCACATCCCCAAAACCGCTCCCTCCCCCCCCCCCCCAACCATTACCGCTGGTCTCCCCAGTTTGAGTTGGGTTTTTATTTCTCCGGTCCCCCGTCTACCCATTTTCAAACTCCGACGGATCAGAGCTGTGCGCCGGAGAATCATATTATAACTATCCACGGTCGCCTCTGCAGCCTGTACGATGACGGGAGGAAGAAGACGAAGGCCTCGCTAACTGAGCACGCCTCCTTCCAGAAATCTGATTACCACGGCGGAAGCGGATTTAAGCTCTCAGAGACCCCGTTGTTTCGACCTCAACAACTCTTTCTCTCTCTCCGAGATTGGAATAGTAAGACGAACCCACTCACTCAACCCCATTCTGCTTCTTTGTCTCTCTTATTCATGAGGAAGATACGGATTAAATGGCATTCATTTAATGGTAAAAGCAGAAATATGACATCATCAGAAGCGATATTACCATACTTTTCCGGGAGAAAAGACGACAACGCTTGAGAATGATGAGAGTAGGATGGAGGTGGCGCTGTTACTAGATTTCATAGAAAGACGGACAAGATTGCGACCCCTTGGAAGCCGCCATCTGTCTCCTTCCCATTGCATCATGTCGGCGCTAAATCGGACCAGCGGAGCTCGGCGTCTCAAACCGGGTCCACTCGCCGTTAACATTGACGGCATCCGGACCAGAGTTGAATTTTCTAGTCGGCGCCCACCGAAATATAGATTCCCGTGCCAATCCAACGGTTAGAGATCGGACGCGGCTTTTTGAAACTGACGAACGGATAGGCTTCGCGGAGGAAGACCCACGGGGACCAACAGTCAACATTTCCCGTCAAGATCTACGTGGCCACGAGGTGTCAACGATAAAAACATGTCGAAATTTTACCTAAAGTAACCGTCAAATCCATTATCGGGAGGATCCCTCCGAACTTTACTCCACGTAGGAATATATTCACGGATGTCGGGACATAGTTAGAGGGGGTGCGCAGAGTGAGAGGGTCTTTTAGGTTAGCCATCAGTCCTACTTGGAGAATCAGGCGTGGCACCACAAAACGATGCCATGTGGAGTCACATATTCCTTCATTATTTATTAATCTTATTTGAAGGGACGTCATGTCCGAATATTCCCCGCCCGATACCGGGAGAGACTGAGAGCACGATTTCTCTCGGAATATATCCCCTAATTAATTAATTACTCAAATTTTCTCTGTACGTAATGGGCTGGCCCACTCGGATGGTTGCCGTTTTTTGACAGCCTGGGCCGAGGAAGGAAGTCCAGGGAAGGGAGGAGGACTAGGCACTGGACTGGACCGGGCCGAGGCGGTTTATGGGCTAAGCCCAAATTGTTCGTGCGAGAAGAGTGTATGTGTAATTTTATTTGATTTATGTGTAGATGACAAAAGAAAGTTTTGTTCTCCTATCTCTTCGCCGAGCTGCAGGCGGGCTATTATTTGGCTCCTAGGGTTTTCCAAGGGGGCTTCTTCTTCCACCAGCCGCTTAGGAGCTTGTCGGGCATTTGGCTGTGACCGTCGACACGCAATGGGGAGGGAGACTCCGAAAGAGCAGCAGCAGCAGGTTTCGTTCACTGTGGAGGAGCTGGTGGCCGTGAACCCTTATAATCCCGACATACTGCCCGATCTCGAGAACTACGTGAACGAGCAGGTGTGTCCATTGCTCTAGATCGATTGATTCCCTTATCCCAGTCTATTCCCAGTTCTATCCTCGCGTGGTCTGCCACTTGTATTTATTCGCTCGTATTGTTTATCTGGTCTTTACTTATTATTATGTCTGAATTTCATGTATTATGAAATAAACGCCCCAAATGCATCCCCAACATTCCCTAATGGATCTTCTCCTTACGCTTCTTATCAAGTATACAATCAGATTATTCCTTTGGGTTCTATGGTACTATGAATATCGTAGGTGCCATTCGGGTTAGAAGTTTGAAAACCTAGTTCACTTTTTCATTTTTGACCACATCATAGTTTTGACATTTAATCAACAGCTTTGTCTTCAATTCAACACGTTGTTTACTGTAAACCTTCGCTCGTATCTTGAGCGGTGTTTTCCTTGTACCTTATCTGTTATCATAATATGAAAAAAATTAAGTGAGATCCTATCAACTTAGTTGACTCAATGCCCCCTGCACAAAAGCATCCATGCTTGTTATCGAAGCTGTCATTTCTTGCATTTTTTTAGCCTTTCTTTTGATCTCATTTTCGTGCCCTTCTTTTTTCTGGGATTATAATTCGAAACCTGTTCATTGCCTTTCAATATTATGCACAGATCCGGGTTTTGACAATTTCTTATTGACAAATCTTCTGATCTTAAGCTTTATGTCGATGTGTATGCAGGTTTCATCCCAAACATACAGTCTAGATGCAAACCTGTGTCTTCTTAGACATTACCAGGTGATGGCTCGATATACTTTACTTTTTTTAAGTTTAATATCTACCCCTAAACTTTCTACTTGCACTGGTGCAATTTCTCATCTTTTGGAATTTCCTTCCTTCAGTTTGAGCCTGAGAGAATGAGCATTCAGATTGTGGTCAGGATTTTGGTTAAGGTGTGGATCTTATGCCCAAAGGTCATTCACAATTACTGCTGAGATTTTTATAGTGGATTCAATGCATGATTTCGTTCATTTTTAAACGCAGGCTCTCATGGCACTTCCAGCTCCAGATTTCAACCTTTGCCTCTTCTTAATACCAGAACGAGTGGTATTTCCGTCTCTCCTATTGTTATTAGTCATTACTTGCAAATCCCTGCTCCTTGTGATACATAGATTTTGGATTGATGCAGTATTCAGTTGTGTTTTTGCTGTCCTTAATGATAAATTTTGCAGAATTCGGGGGAATGTTATTGCAGCCCTGCCCATAAATAGGTCATATTTGGTGGCGTCTTACCAGACGCTTGAGTTAAAATTAATGTAGGAGGCTTGTAACTGCACGATTTTCTCTAACATATTTTTCTATAACAGCCCTCCAACCCCCAAGTAAACAGTCTCTGAAACCTCTCGAGTCCTATTGTTCCTATTGATTCAACGAATGTTCGTGAGTGTTGGTCTCAAAATTTGAGAGTGGTGATGAGAAATAAGTTCTAGCTGTGGTGAAACTATGATTTTTTGTATTTTGGAAAAGCCTACTCTGTATGAGCAACTCGTATTGTCTTGCTTCAACCGACTTGGAACAATCTTGAATGTTTTTGATGTTGTAATCGTCATTCTGAGAGAATGAACGCATTGTTTTATTTTTGTTTACGAAGCTCTTGGTTTTTCAATGCAGGTATTTTAGTTCATTTAATGTAGTGTAGTTTTGACTAGGGATTCCTGCGTTTCCACTTATTCGAAATTCCCCTTTTCTTCACTTGCAGCAAATGGAGGAGCAGATCAAGATGCTGATTGTCCTCTCACACTACCTCGAGGTATGCCTGCGATATTCCTGATTTATGAATCCTTTTTTTATTATTGTTGAATTATTTGTACGCTGACGCCTATTCTTGCCAATTATCATAGACTGCAAGATTCCATCAGTTCTGGGATGAGGCTGCAAAGAATCGCAGTATTCTCGAAGTAGTGCCAGGTAGGCGCTGTCTATCTGTCGATCTCCGGTGTGATTAATTTTCTCTTCAATTTATATTTTGTATGCAGTCCGAGTTGATTTCTGAAGTTACACCATACTCCATAGAGAGTGTAGAATGGTGGAGCATACAGGAGAGCACGCTATAGATGATTCCAGAGAGGCTATGTATATATAATATGACCCCACCCTTCTCCTGATCTAATCATGCAGGCTTTGAGCAAGCTATCCAAGCATACGCCATCCATGTCCTCTCCCTGACCTACCAGAAGGTCCCCCGGCCCGTCCTCGCCGAGGTGATCATCCCCCTACATCCCCCCTCCCCTTCTCTTCTGCTTGCCTGCATTCAGTTGCCTGACTGTTGACTTTTGGGCCCGCAGGCCATCAACGTGGAGGGGTTGGTGCTGGACAAGTTCCTGGAGTTCCACGTGGCGAACAGCGGGTGGGCGCTGGAGGCGGCGGGGCCTGGCCGGGGCCATCTGGTCGTCCTGCCGACCACCGAGTTCAACCACCCGGAGCTGAAGAAGAATGTCTCGGAGAGTGTCCCACTGGAGCACGTCGCCAGGCTCTTCCCCATTCTCGGTTGACCCGGCGCGGAGCGTTGACCTCTGAGAGCGCCGTCCTACACCCTCTTGTCAACGGGGATCGAGATTCTGACTCTTCATGCTCCTTGATTTGGTCTTCCATCTTCACAAGGGGGTGATCGGGCCAATTATCACCTGGACACATGTCATCATTGGGGACAGCTTACGTGGAATTACATCCCTTTACTTTTATTTACCTCCCTATTTACTTTGTCCTTCTCATTGATTAATTGTCACATAATCAAGCTACCTGATACCCTCATTGACCTGGAAGTGTAACTATAGCCCGGCCCAATAAGTAGATGGGCCCAATGGGCTGTATTGGGAGGAGATGCGAGGGTATTATTGTCACCCTCATCTCCGTTTAGGGTTTACATCTCTGCGGCAGCCGCTATTTATTGATGGGCAATCGCCGGCGCAGAGTCCCTCTCCTACGAGGGAAACTTGCGCTCTCTACTAAGCCCCCCCTAGCCTGAGTGGTGGACGGGTGGCGGCGAGGGTGACAATGGCGGCGGCGGGGACGAGGGTGCTCTCCCAGAAGGAGGCGGACATCCAGATGATGCTGGCGGCGGACGTCCACCTCGGCACCAAGAACTGCGATTACCAGATGGATCGCTACGTCTTCAAGAGGAGGAGCGACGGTGTGTAGAATGGATTGATTGCTCTCCGCTTGCTTCTTTACTATGTGACTCAGCTTTTGCGATTTTCGTCGGTCTTCCCGCGTTGGTTCTTCGGGGTCTGTTGATGGGTTGACCTTGGAGATTCCGGAGCTCGAATCTGGTCGTATCCCGCGCTTGGGTGACGTCTAGGGTTTGGTTGGGAGGCCGCCCTCGGCCATTACACTCCCCCCTGATCCTGTCCTCGATCGAAAAACTCAGAACTCACCTCATGAGAATGCCTGATCAATCATCGAGAAACACAACAAGGATGGAGCGTACGAATCTTCCTGAAATTGGTGGTTGGCCGTATATATTAGAATCGTGCAGGTCTGCGGGAATACCTTCTTTGCCAAACGATCGTGCAGGCAATCGATGAGTTGCACCGGGATGGATGTCTGGTGAAAAGTTGAAAAAAATAAAAATGAAGAAGCTTTGCTCATATCACGCGCCATAATCTTGCTGGGATTTCCAGTAACAGTCTGGAGATCATGTTTCTTTCACAGGTATCTTCATCATCGATCTGGGCAAGACGTGGGAGAAGCTTCAGCTGGCGGCGAGGGTCATCGTCTCCATCGAGAACCCTCAGGACATCATCGTCCAGTCCGCGAGGCCCTACGGCCAGAGGGCCGTCCTCAAGTTCGCCCAGCACACCGGCGCCCACCCCATTGCCGGCCGCCACACGCCCGGCACCTTCACTAACCAACTTCAGACCACCTTCAGCGAGCCTCGTCTCCTCATCCTCACTGACCCCAGAACCGACCACCAGGTTAGATACCTCGTTGACCCCAGCCCCCTCTCCATCGACCTCATGCTGCTGCTGACTTGTGGTGATTTCTTGAATCTGCAGCCGATCAAGGAGGGGGCCCTCGGGAACATCCCCACCATCGCATTCTGCGACACGGACTCCCCCATGCGGTATGTGGACATCGGCATCCCCGCGAACAACAAGGGGAAGCACTCCATCGGGTGCCTCTTCTGGCTCCTGGCGAGGATGGTGCTTCAGATGCGAGGCACCATCCTTCCAGGGCACAAATGGGACGTGATGGTGAGTGGGCTCTGGTGGCCGGTTCTTGATCAGATGGGTCGTCGTCCTCAGACTAGAGTTTGTTTTCTTTCTATTTAGGGCGATGTGATTTATTGTTTGTTGCGGCATTGGTGGACGACGCAGGTGGATCTGTTCTTCTACCGGGATCCCGAGGAGGTGAAGGAGAAGGAAGAAGAAGAGACGGCGGCGTTACCACCTCCTGAATATGGTGCCGTCCCGGAATATGCCGCCGGGCAGTTTGGACTGGCCGGCAACTGGACCCAGGAGTGGGCGGAGGTGCCAGCGGATGCGGCGGCGGCGATTCCACCGGTTGTTGGCGGAGCTGACTGGACTCCAACGGCGCCAGGTGGGTTTTCGTTAATTGGAGACGATAATCTCTTTAAACCTCGCCATTTCTTGCTGGGTAATCTGTATTATTCTTCCTGATGGCAGTGGCCGATGCTGAAGGGTGGGATTCGGCTGCCGCCCCAGTCGCAGTTGCTCCTGCCATCGGCAATGCTGACAGCGTTGTCCAGGCGACTGGATGGGAATGAAGAACGTGTAAACGTTTTTTGGAATATGTATTGCGTTTCCTGCCAGCTCCCCTATTTTATGATCCGCCGCCCGTTGATCTGTAAAAAAGATCAGACCCGTTTTTTTTTTTTTCTCAATCTTCTCGAGTTCTATCCATTTATCGCTCTATGTAGAGCGGATACCGTTGACCTCTAGAAGACTTTCTGAGTACGAATTATCTGCGCCACTGATTATCACTGACTGCCTGGTGACTCGGTTGTTTTCCCCGATTCGGGGTGTTGACTTTGTGATTGTCAGCTCGTTGACCATATGCACAGATGAGGAAAAAAGAATCCATGGAAACGGATCTATGTCCAAACGAGGCTGTAGCGACGGTAGAGCTCATAGCGAGTTGCTGCGGTGTCCGTCTGTTATTTACAGAGATTGAATGTCTGAATTAACACGCCGGCTAAAAAGCCCAATAAAGAATTATGACCTACCCTTATTCACATGGCAAGGAAGAGCCGGCGAGAGAGAGAGAGAGAGAGAGAGGGCGGAGGCGGGGCGGAACTGGCTTCATTCATTCCCTGGGGGGCCCAAGTCAGCTCACAGATGTCACACACAACGGGAGAGAATCCCCCCATAAGCAACCCAGTGCGCAAAACTGTCGGAAAACTCTTGGAGTTTGTCCAGAATCTGGGCGCCGTCTCCCTCCTGCGGAGCTCTCTCGGGGGATCCCTGCTAGACATTCCATGGGTCAACAGGGTGGCCGTAGAGTCGAAAAAGAAGGAAAGAAAGAAGCATGTAAAAATCCCGACCCAACACAACCCAACCCCCCCCTCCAGGAGGAGCAGGAGCAGGAGCAGGAGCAGGAGGGATTAAACCCAGTTGAACACGCCCTCCTCGTTCATCAGCCAAACATGCGCGGGTTTTTCATCAGGCCGGGAGCAGGGTTCCAGGAGCACTGACCGTGAGCATAGATCCGTTCTCCGTCACCGCCGAAGTAGTCTCTATTGTTGTTGAACCACCGCTGGCAGCTCCACCTGGAACACCGTCCACAGCAGATGATCTGAAAGGTTTTGGAAGACGGTCAAAATTTCTGATTTGCCGCCAGCGCCAACAGACACGGCTGACCTCTCAAGAAGAAACCAAGTTGTCTCTCACCTAGTGGAAATTTCCTCCGCTGAACTCTCGGACGTCGAGAGCCACTCGAGATCCAAAAAGTTCGAGAAGGTCGATGGGTCAACGCTGTGCCCAATCAGGCTAAGACTCTCTCCGTCTCTGAACTCTCTCCGGCAGACTTCTGATGGAGTGCATCTAAGAAATCCCTCGAAAAAATTAACAGATTTATAAAAAAAAGGAAAAAGGAGGGAAGATAGAATGAAATGCGGCATAAACGTGAAATAGCTCACCGGGAGTATGATGTGTCGCTGTCACAAGTTGAGATTTCTGGGGTTGAAACAGACAGCCCCATGGCGCTGCCCTCAGACATTCTGGCCGGCTGCACTGACTCGGTGAGCTGCTTCTCGCCATTAATGGCGGCGCTCGATTCTAATATGCAGCTTTCACAATGAATATTGCCATCCGAGATGGATCTTTCGAGAACAGACCTGGGAAGACAATGAGCCATCATTAATGTGGGTGATCATTTCTCTGGGCTATCTGTTTGGCCTCGGGCAAAGAAATTTCGCTTTACTGGGTGGGAGCTGAGCGAGCTCAGAATAAGCAAAAATGATTAGGCAAATTGAATCGAAGAAGATGGGAGACCATTTCTGTTCAAGAAGAAAGATAGACCATTTCTGTTCCTTATGCTCCCCTGTTCATCACACGGACTCAACACGTTTTCATCTTTATGCATTTTATTCCAGTTCGAGTGCAAGAAATCGGGTAGAATTTCACGCAGATGGATTTTAAAAAGCCGGAATATGGCTAACTGGGCTTTGTTTTCTTAGAAACTTATTCAAATTAGAACGAACCAGATGTCAATGCAAACCTAGTCTCAGAGCGCAACTCTTCACAAAGGATTGGAGTGGAAAAAGCTGAATGATGAATCTCCACAAGACGAGCACCGACAAAAAAAACTGGAAAAATAAGGCTGGAGATGCCGGAACACGATTACCATAATTTTGCATCAGAAAAACCATGATTGCATCGTTCAAGATTCCAATGGTGATCTGAATCCAGGTCCCAAAGGGAAGACCTCCCATGCAGAGGTCGCAAGTAGCCCAGGAACCTGGAGAAACGCCAGCAAACGAACAAGAAAGACTTAGCCTTGAAGAAATGGAAAATGCATAGAAGACGGGCATTACTTGGACGAAACAGGCGAAGGAGATCCGATCATCAGGAGGGGGAGGAGCAAGGAACCCTACACGTTTATCGCATCTTGTTTCTCGGCATCCATGTAAGCATTGCTGTAGTAACGTTGCAGGGTCCTGAAGAACTCCTGAGACTGGATTGTTACCTTCCATTGACCTCTCCTTTGGCTAAAGATCTATGAAGAACAACAAGCGTACGGCGGCAAGATCAATGAGCACCACAGTTCTGACCAAAATAATGAGAAAATATCTTGCAGGCCAACGGATAAGAAGAGAAGTATTATGGCACGAATCCTTCGAGGTAACACGAAGCGCCAAATGCAAAGAAGAAAGGCTTTCTTCTCCATTAAAAATCGCTTAGCAACACTGGAAATCCAAACAGGGCGGTACTAATTCAATTAAAGCCCGTTCTCTAAAACTAAGATGTGCACAAGAAGTATGCTTTCTAGTGAAAAATTCCCGGAAACCAAAACCATGGATGTTATGCCAGAAAGTTGGTTGGCTGGAAGGCAACGAGAATAATCAACAGACCATCTCTCTGGAAGATGGTTCAGATGGTCAGAATTCTTCATCAAATGGTCACCATCTTTGTATAAAATGGAGAATCAGGCTCTCATAATCCGCACCTCAATTCCTAGATTAAGCAGAAGACTTATGGCCGCGGTAGGAAGAACGAGGTGCACTCGATAGATATTATACCTTGTTATGAGCTGCAGATCCACCATATTGCAAAGCAAGGGTATCACCCATTGTCTCGTAAAAACTCATCAAAGTATCTGCCAGGGGCGTATCCAGATCAATCTGGGGCGTATCAATCAGACCCAGTTCGTGAAGCTGATGCCCCAAAGCAGCCAAGCCATAGGTGTATTGAGCTACGTTGGTACGATCCAAGCAGTCTATGCAGTTGGTGCGAAGGACACCTCTCTGGAACTTGGGAAATTTTGAGGAATCCTTGTTGAGAGAGCTGCAGTCTTCCAGAGCTCCACATCCTGAGGTGGTCACATCGTCCGCAACGTTGTGGTTAAGACAGACATACGATGAGTCCTCCCCATCATCGTTCCTGCATTACGGTATGTTGTAGATAGCTGGCTAAGTAGTGAAGTAGTGTGGAGAATACAAGAAATTCTGAAAAAAACGTAGGCACTCACTCAAGAAATGGCCAGTCTGCGGTGTTCTCAGTTGTTGAAGATGGGCTCACTTGACAGTAAAAGTAGCCCGTCGACGTCAACGCACAGGCTGCTACTCTGCCCAAAAATCCCAGCACATTTGTGGTTTTCCTGGGGGAAAAGTGATTCCGTCGAAGTTAGAATCATATCTCCAAGAATAGCCATACAGTTTCCAGAGGAGAACACGGTCTGAGCCGCAGTGTCTGATCACAATCCATAGAAGAGAGGGAGAGATTACTTTCTGAAATGTTTGTGAAGGTCCCAATGTAAGAATTTCAAGGAAGTTTCATCTGACGAATCTCTATTGATGAAATCAATCGCATTGGCGAATTCGGCACGAAGTATAGACTCTCGAGGCCTTTTCTCGTTTGTCTGCATCAAATGAAACGAGGGATCAGGGAGGTGCAGCAAGCAGTTCACAGAGTTTCTATGAACAAGCATCATGCTGATTAAATTCAGGACCTTGGATCATTACAGCCGTGCCCAATAGAGCATAGACGATTGCGCCAAGTCAGGACATTACCTTGATTAAATTCAAAATAATTATCGGATTTCCATATCTCTTCACAAGATTCTCGAAGTGGAGCCGAGTAGCTTCATAATTCCTGTCCTTCCTGTGCACTGAAAGCGTAGGAAATATGGGGGGGGGTGTTAGCCCACGAATAAGGAGCATCCTGATTAAAGGCTGCAGATGAACCTACATATGATATCAGGTTTAAGATTCAGCCGAGAGGTTTCTTGCGACCAGAAAAGAGGTATCGAACCCCTGTTCTGCACAACGGAGCTCATCTGGATTGGACACCCACAGCGGCATTCATCTTCAAACACTATCTGTTCTGTTTCGACGTCATTTGCGACTTTACCTTTGTCATTCACGCCGCGTTTTAGATACCTGCGGTTTGGGGGGAAGGGGGGGAGTTCTGAATTGAAATCTTGGCGTAAAATGGGAGAGAAAAATGTACAAAAATAGTTATGAAAGGGGTAATTAGACCTGGTTCCTGCATAATGGCGGGAACGCCTGGCAATGAGAGTCAAGTGGAAGTCTTTGCCAGATACAGAAAGCTTCGCCTGAAGGGAGGAACAACAACACGCCACAGCATGAAAAATGTAAAACATCGGGCATCAGAGTAGAAAAATAAATCTCGGGAGATATTCTCCTCGAAATGTAAGCTTACCAGGAAATTTTTAATTTACACGGTCAAATATAGTTCAGAAAGACTGAGCAAAAGCAAGCAGTACACTCTCTGAATTATCATCACCATCAAGGCCATTTTGCCTCACTAACCCAGGCAGAAGAGAAACAGGGGGAGGATGAGGCGAAACACCTTGCCCCATCTCATGGGAGGTGGCTGAGATAAATAAAAACTGCTACATGGGCACCTCTCTAGACTACTGTTTATGTTCTCTCTCATGGGGGGACAAGTGAGCACATATCTTTGCTGATTCTTGTTCCTTCTTTCTGTCTACAGCAAGCATACTTAGCACTATAATATGACTGGTTTTCCAGCCTCCAACTCGTAGAATCCAATGGCCATGTTGGTGCTTTTATACCCACCATTCTCTTCTTCAGAGGAAAACTGAAGGCTATTGCCGTTTTTCTTGGTCCAAGAGAGAGTGCGAGCAACAACTTAATGGGTGAGCGCTCCATGCCCTCTACTCGTCGCAAAATACCCACAATTCATTGCTCATGAGGGATTCATTCGAAGGGTGCTACTGTTAATCAGCATTTGGTAGGAGAATAAAAGCAAGAGAAAGCAATGCCCAGTTTTAGCATTGAATTCAGCCAAATCATGGGTTCAACAGTGTACGGACAAAAAGAAGGGAAACCGACTGCCTATTTAACCATAAGTTTTTGCATCACAAAGTGAAAAAACTTGCTGCATTCAGTATCAGAACCTTGAAGAAGATAACTCATCGGCATTTCACCTGCTTGAAGAAGCCGTACACAAGAGCAACGGTCCAGAGAGTGTTTTTCAGATGGTTTCGTATTCCACGTGTGAGGAATTCATTCCAGACGAACATCGAGCCATGCATGGCCTCCCCATTCTGTCTGTCACAAAAGTTACTTTGCAGGCTGTGCATAACATGGTACGAGTAGCTGAAGAAGAAGTCCTTTGTGAGATCCACTGAGCAGAAGAGCTTCTTGTATCTAGAATGCAATCAAAAAAAAAGAAAAAAGAAAAAAAGAGGGACAGTTGTGAATGCCAAATTCCTCAATTTCAGTTTAGAATAAACCGGAGAAAAATAAAATTTTGAGTTCCATATTAAATGATTTAATTGAAATAATGAGTGGAATTTGAACATGCGTGAATAAGAAGATTCTTTGATTTTTTTTTTGAATTAAAGAAGTATTATAACATATGCTATGATGATCTAAGAAACTAGAATGCAATCACAGAAGCTTCGATAACTCTGGACTTTTAAAAGGCTCTTTCTTTGGCTCATATAGATGAATGATCAGGAAGAACCCAGGGCCTATCTTGGAAATCGCACATCACAGATATCTACTACATCCATTAACACTATACATTTGCATTTGGAGTGGGCAAAGGACCTGCTTTCGTATCTACAATTAACCACATCCGGTGACACAGAAGAATTTCCAAGGGAGAAGATCTCGCTCTTGGTGATGGCATAAACTGCATGACCGCAGATGGCTCCGATTTGCTTCCTCTTTGTGATAAGCAGCATATAGTAAGGTCCGAAGAACTTGACAAACCCTGCAAAGAATGCCCAGAAAATTATGCGTCAATAATTATTTCTCTTGGGGGGATAATAAATGAAAGTAGTATACGTACCGACGATGCCATAACAGCTGGTGACAAATCTAAGCCCGCCGGTTGGCTTGTTCCCCTCATTTATCCGATTCAAGAAGTCCTGGCATTCGCTCTCAGAGTAGGAGGAGGCATCTTCGAGGATGTTCAGCTCGCAGGGCTCCGTCCTGTTGATCTTTAGCACCTTCCATAGGGTCTTCTTCTTGTCTCTTCCTATCAGGTAGAATTTCTGCGACAAGGCAGCGGCAGAGTAAGCAAGAGAAGAGGCGGCGGATCTGTGGGTGGCATATCCTGGAAGAACAAAAGAACCAGTTTCTTCTTCTCCTTCTTCTTCTTCTTCTCCCTCCTTTTACGAAGCATTGGAGATAAACGAAGGGAATGGAGGAAACAGAGGAATTTAAGGGAGGAAAAATATGTTTTTGATTGGGTTTTTGGAATTTGAGAACCCAGCGGCAGGAAAAAAAGAAAAAGAGTGATCAAAAGATGTGTGCAGAGATAGCAGATATTCGAAGATAAACAGGAACGGAAATGATTTAGGCGAGGAAAAGGGTGAGGTAAGAGCTATGGACAAAAGGGGGGGTGGGTTCTATCTAATTGCCCAAGTATGAGATGATCGTCCATCGCTTTTGCTTACCGATCGGGTCTCATACAACCAGAACTTGTGGAGGGAGAAGCTGTGGGCGTGGCCGTCCTTCGCCTGATCGGGCCGGGAGGAGCGCGCCGGGTGATCCGCCATGAAGTTGGCGGCCATTGCTTCTCTGTTCTTGATCCGAGGGTCGCCTCCCCACCGTCTCGGGTAGGGTGGGTTCTCACGCCTCACGCATCAAATCCCCGAATTCGGCTGCTTCAGATACAGCATCTCCAACCCCTTCCGGTTTCCCGGGGATTTTTTTACCGGCCCCTCCCCAACAAGCCACACCCAGTCGCCATCAACGGCACCGCCGTCAAACCCGATTCCCTCCGCTCCATCCGCGGGGGCAGGCAAGAGAGGGGGAATGGAGCAAGAGAGAGAGAGAGAAACACAAACAGATAGAGCGAGAGGGGGAGGGAGAGAGAGAGAGAGATGGAAGGAGAGCGGTGGGAGGAGGGACGGGGATAGGGAGAAGAAAGAGACGCGCCAGGAGGCTTGTGATTCGATAAAGGAGGAAGCGAAAAGGACGTAGGAAAAGAGGTGTTTGGCCTCGGCGGAAAAATGAAGGGACGGCGAGAAACCAGGAACCCACCACCGCCAACTCCGGCGCCACCAAGACCGAAATACAACTCCCTTGAGAGAAAGAAATAATTGGTCGTCGTCGCCGCCGCCGCGCCGCCTGCGGCTACCTCAACCTCCTCGCCCCTCCCGAGCACCGAGCGATCTTCGCAGCTGCCCGCGTGTCAGCTGTGCTTTCTCTCTCTCTCCCCGCCGTGTTGTTTGGTCCCTTGTGAGGTGGAGAGTCCTGGCGAGGAAGGTCACCGGTTGCGCGACGTCAGTCCACAAGAAAATATTCAGCGGTTTTCCCACAATTCGGCGAAGAAACAACATAAATTACGACTACAATAATTGCCAAAAAAACGAGCTATTTTGCATATGAAAAATGCCAAATTGGGATTTAAAAATCAACCAATTTTCCTCAGAAAAAGGAAAAAGGGGAGAACGAACGAGAGCACTGCCCCCCAGAAATCAAATAAATTTCAAATACTGTTTTTATTTTTATTTTTTAAGAACTCCCGCCGAGAGATACCGCCTCATTTGTCCCCGTTGACTTTTAGGATATTTAGCGTATCCTCCTCGCACACGTAAATCGCACTAGAAAACATTTCAAATAGCCGCTACTCTCTCTCTCTAAATGTAATAAGCACGTGTAAAATTATTGGTTTATTTTTCTCTGTCCTGGTATTTTAATGGATACGGGTGTAACCACTGAAACGTGGTCGCGTGGGCATACGAAGATCGCGAAGGTAATTTTAATAGCGTAAGACGAATTATTCATATTTTTTAAATGGCCCGATTTAGCTAATTTATGTCCGAGAAAACTTCCCGTGCCGTGCCGCTGACGACGTCGAGTGGAGGCCGACAGGAATCTAATCGGACGGACATGATTGACTTTAATATTCTCACTCTTACCACTCTCCGCCGCTCTCTCTCTCTCTCTCTCACATCATGATTGACGAGGTTTAATTACCTCGGCTGGACTACACGTCTCTCTCTCTCTCTCCCTCTCTCCCTCTCTCCGGGTCAAAAGTGTAACTTTGTTGGCTAACGGATCCCCACTCTCTCTCTCCCTCCCTCCCTGGAGATGACCAAGAAGGTCCTCTGTTGGTCGGTGTGTGGATCCAGGAAAGGCTACAGCTGTCTGAGCACGGCGGCGGCCGCCTCCCCAACGTTCGATTGGACGGCGGCGCATACACGAGAGTGCACCCGAATCGGAATCGGGAGACTCCCGACAACTGTGGCAGAAGTCAAAGAATCACAGGCTCCGTCCCCGCTGACCGATTTGCTGTCCCCATATGTTTCTACTTTTAGAATTCACCCCCCATAAAAGTTATACATCATCATCATCATCCAGCCGTTGACTTTTTCCGCCGTTAACTTTTTCCTCTCCATTCTGAGGAGATGAGGAGGGAGACAATCGCCGCCACCATTCAGCACTGGATCAATTCCGGCAGCCCCCGCCGTGGCCTGGCGATCCACTCGCAGATCATCAAAACCGGGGAGCTCCCCAATGCCAACATCTCCATCAAGCTCCTCGTCCTGCACCTTAAGTGCGACTCCCTCGCCTACGCCCGCCAGGTGTTCGATCAAATGCCCTCCCCCACTCTCTCTGCGTACAACTACCTCATCGGCGGTTACTGCAATCGCCACCGCCACCAGGAGGCGCTGCAGCTCCTCCGCTTGTTCGCCATCTCCGGCGAGAGACCCGATGGCTTCACCCTCTCCATGGCCCTCAAGATCTCCTCCTCCGCCGCCGCCGCCGCTGCCGCCGCTAATCTCTGCAAGGAAGTGCACGCTCAGATTTTCAGGTCCTGCGGCGGCGGCAGCCTTGACGAGGTCCTCTGCACGGCGCTGATCGATTCCTACGCCAAGAACGGGAGCTTGGGCTATGCCAGGAGCGTCTTCCGCGAATCCTCGGACCAGAACGTCGCCTGCTGCACGGCGATGATCTCCGGGTACATGCGGCGGGGGCTTCTCAGGGAGGCGGAGGAGGTGTTTCAGAGCGCTCGCGAGAGGGACGCGGTGGCCTTCAACGCCATGATCGAGGGCTACAGCTGCAGGCCTGCGACAGCATCGAGGTCGCTGGAGGTCTTCAAGGACATGCAGGGGGTGGGCCACCGGCCGACGGTCTCCACCTTTGTTAGCTTGATTGGCGCCTGCTCCGTGCTCTGCGCGTTGGAGTTTGGCCGCCAGGTGCACGCTCGGCTGGTCAAGACGGAGATCCTCCTGCACGTCAGATCGGGCAGCGCGCTGGTGGACATGTACGCCAAGTGTGGCCGGACAGATTACGCGCGGAGGGCGTTCGACGATATGCCGGAGAGGAACGTGTTCTCCTGGTCCTCCATGATCGACGGGTACGGAAAGAACGGCATGGCGGAAGAGGCCCTGGAACTGTTCAGGAAGATGGAGGAAGAAGACGACGATGTGGTTCCCAACGAGGTGACCTTCCTCGCGGTGCTATCGGCGTGCGGGCACGCAGGGCTTGTCGGCGAAGGGAAGGACATCATGGCGAGTATGGAGAGGGACTACTCTGTGAAGCCTAAGGTCGAACATTACGCGTGCATGGTAGATCTGCTGGGCCGAGCTGGGAATTTGCAGGAGGCATTCGCCTTCATCAAGGAGATGCCCTGCCGGCCAAATTCCGACGTGTGGGCGGCGCTGCTCGGGGTCTGCAGGCTCCATGGGGAGGTGGAGCTCGCCGCCGTGGCGGCAAAAGAGGTTTTTGAGTTGAACAGGAGGGAGCGGCCCGGAGCTTATGTGGCTCTGTCCAATACCTTCGCCGCCGCCGGGCGATGGGGGAGCGTCTGCGAAGTGAGGGAGATGATGAAGGCGAGAGGGGTCTCCAAGGACACCGGCAACAGCTGGGTCGGAACCAGGGAGGGAAAGATTTCATGAGAACTCTTCTATCAAGTTTCTCTTCTCTTCAAGTCTGCAGATTTACAGAGAAAAAAGGAAGGAAGACTACAAGACGACGGGCTAGGCTATGCCGACCTGCACCGTCTTCCGCTTGATGAGGTCTTTTGGAGGAGGGGGGCGCTTCTCCACAGTGACCCTGAGCTCGCCGTTCTGGCACCGGGCGGAGATCCTGCTGGCGTCCGAGTCCTCTGGGAGCTTGAATTTCCGGAGGAACTTGAAGGAGGCTGCCGTCCTCTCCAGCCGCAGGTACTTGCAGGCCCCTTCCTCTTCCTCCTTACCTTCCTCCCTCTTCCTCTTCCCGCTGCTCTTTATCACCAGCATGATCTCCTCCTCTACAGTCACCTGCAGCCATGGACGACCTCCGTCGGTGACCGGCCGGCGACGGTGAAGAAGTAAGGTCCTGTCCACTGTACCTGGATGTCGGATTTGGAGAGGCCGGGGACGTCGAGGAAGAAGGTGTACGCCGTGGGGGTCTCGAGGATGTCCACGGGGACGTCCCCCAGGCCCTTCTCCTCGCCCTGGCGATGCCTCTCCCGGGGCCGGCCCCGGCGGCCGCGGGCGGCGGCGCCGACCTCATAGGGAAAGACGAGGTGCTCCACTGCCTCCGGCAGGTGCAGCAGCTCGAAGACCGTCGCGTCGGCGAGCGGGCTCATGCTTACAGCGATGGGCAAGAAATTGGAGATGCAGATGGCGGCGGCGGCGGCGATTTTCTTCGAGAGGAATGGAGGAACTGAAGCGATTAGTTACCAGTGCTGAGGGAGGAATAAGAGCTGGGGGTAGAAACCTCCGGAGGCTCCGAGAGTTCGCGTCTAGAAGCGTCCAGAAGAATCTTGCGCCAAAAAAGGCACGATTTTGCTAATTTTGTAATTATTCCTCATTTAGTGGGCCACGTAGGCACACACGCAATGGGATCGCCTCCAGTGGGCCGTCTTTAGCCAGTTGGTAATGGTCAGGAGTGCTTGCTGCAATCCCCGAACTGTGGAGTGAGTCGACTTGGGTTAACAGCCCCATAACTCCGGCTCGGTCAACGAGACGGATCACATGATCTTAGCCCGTTTTCAGGGCCGTTCTCTGGGCTCGGTCCCTTTAAGAAGGCGTATCAACTGTTGACATAATTACCTTGAAGTCAACGTCTTTAGTGGGTCCCCGGTCTCTAAATACTGCAGCCGATTCGCCTACCCCAAACACCGACACTGCACCGGCAAGCTCCAGCTGCCCGACCCACCCTTCTTTACTCCCCCCCGTCGGCGATCGACCCTTTCGTTGCCGCCGTTCCTCGTCCTAATGGCGAAAGGCGGCGGCAGGCTCTGGGGACTCAAGTCCGTGGTCAAGAGGTGGTGCACCGGCGGCGCCACCGCCCCGGAGGAGGACGACGGGGAACAGGCGCCGCCACCGGGGCTCCACCCGGTCTACGTCGGCAAGTCCCGGCGGTGCTACCTCGTCAGCTCCCACCTCCTCAACCACCCTCTCTTCCGCGTCCTCGTACAGCGGTCCGCCGCCGCCGTGTCGTTCCCGTCGCCGTCGCCGTCGCCGTCGCTGGCGCCAGCGGTGGTGGTGGTGGGCTGCGAGGTGGTGCTCTTCGAGCACCTGCTGTGGATGCTGCAGAACGGCGATCCCCCGCCGGACTCTCCCGAGGAGCTGGCGGACTTGTACGCCTGCTGATGAACCCATCACAGAAGAAGGCGCCCCTGTTCTTCTCTCCTCGTCCTTCGTCTTCGCCGTTCCTCCATTTCTCTGCGGATATTAGGGTTTCCAGTATCCCTATGCATGCATGTTCTTGTCCTAAAATAGCCTATTTGGATGATGCAACTTCATCTGCATCGAAAAGTCTCTCGCTGTAAAAGTCATCCGCGTTGACTAGTAGTAGGGCACGTCGGCCTCGCCCTTTGTTCTTCATGCCCGGTCAGACCTACCAAATTGGGTCCGCCTTGGTGTACCAGGTTGGGCCCAAAATACCGAGCCCATTTCTAACCTTGTCTCAAATCTCCATCCAAGTCTAAGCTGACGAAAGCTGACGCAACTGGGTGACGTGGAGCCTACTTCAACGCGTTGATGGGACCCGTGCGCCCTAAGCTGACGTGGATTCATAAAAAGTTTGCCACTTTTTGCTGGGCCCACCCAGCCATTATTGGTGCGCCCAGAAGAGAACTTTCTAGACGACCTCATCCAAATATCTTCTTGCGCGCATCACCGTCCATTCCCACGATTCCCTGCTCTTCCCAGCTCTGTCACGTGCGGGAATCGCCAAAGGGCATATCGCACGTGCTATGTCGCTCACGGCCTTATCCAATGGCCGACGGTGTTGACTGCACTATGGTCAAGTACCGCTAAGAATGACCGCTTCCCCGGGGAGTATAGACGTATCGCCGTTGTGGACGCGGTTCAGGCTCGGCGGTTAGCGTACTTCGAGTCACGGCATCCCACTTATCGTTCTAGAGGCTTCCTGGTTATAGAAGATCTCCCTCTCTCTCGCTCTCTCTCTCTAGCTTCTTACCGGCGATGCGGACGCTGGAGAGGGGAGAGGGAGGGGGGGGAAGCTGATTGCGTCCTCCGCCGGGGAAGCCTCTCTCTCTCCCTTCTTCTTCCTCTCTCATCGAGATGGCAGGCGGAGAGGACGAGCAGGAGGTCCGCAGCGAGGGTGGCAAGGACCTGTACGCGGTGCTGGGGCTGAAGAAGGAGTGCTCCACGGCGGACCTGAGGAGCGCCTACAAGAGGCTTGCTCTGGTCAGTCTGCTGGGGATTTACATTTCTTTTCTTAGAGATTCATTTCTGCTCGGGAGGGAACGAGGAAGGAGAGAGGAAGATTTACCTGCGCATTTTTTGAATTCTTGTCGTCTGATGAAGGAATCCCTCCTAAACTCCTGGTTTCCCGTTTTTCCCCAAATGATCTCGTCGAATCGTCGGAGAGGGGACGGCAGAGATGGCATCCGGACCGGTGCTCGACAGCAGGGAGCGGAAGGTCGGCGGACGAGGCCAAGTCCAAGTTCCAGGCGATCCAGGAGGCCTACTCCGGTACGCAAGCGACCTTCCTCTCCATTACCGATGTTAATATTCAGCACCGATGACGACGCTCCCTCTTCTCTCCTCTTTGCTTCCTTCCCACCGGCGATCTGAGCAGTTCTGTCGGACGCGAGCAAGAGATCCCAGTACGACGTCGGAGGGTTTCACGGCGGCGAGGACGACGCCGACGTAACTCTCACATATACCGCCGTTTCCGCCATTATTGTAATTTCCCTTGCTCCCCGTGATGATCCCTGACGACGGTGACGGATCAGGAGATGGGCGACTTCCTTGGGGAGATGGTGACCATGATGAACCAGACCGCGCCGACGGTAGCCGTCCGAATCTGTGGGTCTCCATTACGAGACGGAGAGTTGACTTTTAATCCTCCTCCCCTGCCTGGTTTTCTCTTCCCCCCACCCTCCGGTGAGTTTGCAGGCCGGCGGGAGCGAGACGTTTGAGGAGCTGCAGCGGCTGTTCTTCGAGATGTTCGAGTCCGACGTCGAGTTGCTCAGGGAATCACCGGCGAGGTGTCGCGATAGGCGAAACTCCGGCTTCTTCACCGGCTTCGACTTCTCCGCGTCCTCCTCCTCCGGCAGCGGCGGCGGCGGAGGAGGAGGAGGAGGAGGAGGAGGAGGAGGATATAAGCGGGACGGCGTGGAACTCTACTCTGACCAGGCAAAGGCCATGGCCGGCGGCGACGCCGGCGACCTGGTCGGTATCGGGCCGGCCGGCGTCTTCTGTGTTGGGGTGAGCTGTCTAATCCTCTCTCTCCGTTCTCTTCCCACCAGCTGCTGGATTCGACGGTCGTCGGAGTCTTTACTGAGAAGGATCCCTCTACCCTGGTCTTCTCCGGTGGCTCCTCCTGCGTCTTGCAGTTGGACGACCGGAATACCTCGTCACCGGCGGCGAAGGGCCAGGAAGGGGGCGGCGGCAGGCGGAGGCCCGGGAGGAAGCAGCAGCCCTCTTCAAGGTTCGGGGTTTCTTCTCATTGTAGACGGGGTTAACACTCTTAATTCGGGGCCCCACTTGCGGGTAAACCAAATTAGACTTCTGAAGCCCATAACTTCAGAATTAAGAGAAAATAAATATTCTGGAGAATCTCCTACAAAAACCGGCCTTTCAAAAGTCTTCCTGTTCCGTTGACCGGTGGTAACTCGCCCATGGACGGTGAGGGCCCGCCATTGACAAAGCCGGCGAAAAAGGGGGGCGTCAGTCTTCCTTCAGCCGCCTGAGCAGCTTGGCGGCCCACCGCCGGAGGCGCCGCTTCAGAGTGAATCCCACGAGCACGCCGACGGAGAAGCTGAGGAGGCAGAGCTTCGAGCAAGTCCCCAGCGTCACCACCCTCCTGCATCCACAAATGGCGGCGCTAAGATTATCGACCCCCCTATTTGAAGCCCGTCCTCGAGCTCCGGCTATGGTGGATCGCCTGCCTCTCCTCAAGCGGTGAAGAGGCCTCGAGCCACATTCAGGCCATTCGTACGATCCCTTCCCTTCTTCTACCTCGATCTATCCACTGATCTTCCGCACGGATTTCTCACGGCTGGTGGAAGACCGAAATCGAAATCGGAATCGAAACTCCGGATCGATGAGCAGAGTTTCGGATCGAGTTTCCGATCCAGAAACAGCTGCAGCGATCGAACCAGAACAGGGAGGACGCGAGAAGGGGGAATCGTACCCGGGAGGCGCGCGGATCAACATCTGAGATCTCCCGGACGCGAGATGGGCGCCGTCGGAGGAGGAGGAGGAGGCGCCGCCGCCGCCTCTGGAGCTCGACTCCTGGGCCAGAGAGCGAAGGCCAGCCGTGAAGCTGTCCATTCTCCCTTCCCTGGACGGAGCCGTAGAAGCTGCGCCGCCGCGAACGAGGGAGACGGTGAGGGTTTCTAGGGCTTTCTCTCACCCTTACCCGCCTCCGCGAAACGGGAAAGAATGCTTTCACACGTGTGCCGAAGTTGACTCGGCCCATATGCCCACCCTCCTAAAATCTGGCTAATTTGTTTTTCTTCAAAGTAATTACGTTTAATTTGGTAAATTCGATCAATGTTTCTCATAAATTGAACTTCTTATATTGTTTCTGCTCATTGAAAAGGGGAGGGGGGCGAGTGTGGGCCCACTCTTGGAGCTTCACGGTTCTCTGGACCAGTCCCCGCTCTTGCCGCCGGTTTTCCTGTCGAGGCGGAGGTCGGTGATCTGGATGTCCTTGGAGGCGGCCTTGCACATGTCGTAGACGGTGAGCCCGGCGACCGCTGCCGCCGTCAACGCCTCCATCTCCACCCCGGTCTTGCCCGCCGCCGCCGCCGCCTCCACCGCCACGCGGACGCTGAAGTCCTCCTCCTCGAGCCTCAGGTCAACGTCCACGTGGCTAAGCCCGATGTTGTGACACAGCGGGATGAGACTGGCCGTCTGCTTGGCGCCGCCGATGCCGGCGATCTTCGCCACCCCGAGGACGTCCCCTTTGACCATCTGGTTGGCGGCGACCAGCCCGAAGACCTCACGCCCCAGGAGGACCTTGCAGCTAGCCATGGCGGTCCTTTTCGTCTCCTCCTTGCCGGACACGTCCACCATCTGGGCCTCGCCGCCGGCGCCGACGTGGGTCAGCCCTCGCCCGCTCTGGATCGGCGGCGGCGGCGCCGCCGCCGCCTGAGAGGGGATCCGAGGTTCTCCGGTGGGTGGTGGCCGGAGGTTACCGGAGGGAAGGGCTGCGCCGAAGATCGCCTCCATTTCCTGGAATGGCGGCGGATCCCCACCAGATGAATATTACAGACAATATTTAGGTTTCCAGCATTTGAATCTATCAAAGATTCACCAACTTCTTGGAGGCAGTGATTCGACGAGCGACCCTTTTTAAGAAATAATCAAGGATTGGTTCTACATGAACATCATAGAGCATGGGTCAAAGCTCACCAGATTGAGTTCTGAGATCTTCGAATCATCGTTGCTGCCGCTGCTGCTGCTGCTGTTCCTGGAGCTCTTTCTGGTAAGGCAGGGTCTGAAGGAGGTTGATTTCCCCCTCGCTTGCCGCAGGATCATAGCGAGACGGTAATGAAGACTGGCTTATCGATTGTGGATGTTTCGAGCTCGAATCCTGCAGTACGAGAAACATAGCTCGGGTCAGCTCACATGGTAGTTCAAGGATCTACTCCGGAATGCAGTATCTGAGTTAATTCCCGTAAGTTCGTCACTGAATCCGACTGTACGTCGTTCATTTTGAATTGCTACCGAAAAAGAGACCAGAAGAGTGAACTGTTCCATCGATGCTCTCAAAATTTCTTCGTCCTAAAAAAAACAGCGGAGTACCGCAAACACCGCACGAACCCCATGAAAACTGATTGCAAATGAACGGAGATAAAAGACCTTTCTATCAATGGGAGCTTTAGCTCCGATCGCGGCCAGATTACTCGCAACGAGAAGAAGACGAAGATGATGATGATGATGATGACGACGGAAAGGAAGGATCGAAGTCGTCAATGCGGAACCACCTATCTTCAATATCTATGGGAAAATTCAGACAGAAAGAGGGGAATGGTGAGATGAATCCAGTGGTTATTCCAAGAAGAGTGGGGGGCTGGCTCGGGCATGTCCGAAGAAGGCAAACCCTACGCCATCTTTCGGATCAGGTAAACTTCTGCTTCTCCAACGACGACGGAGTATGAGAGAAGACGGTTAAGTTCGCATCGGCGGAGAATCCTCGGATCTCTTCGTTTCCACTGGATCGATTTCCTGGCTTAAGCCGGTTCCTACCAGTTAATCCGAGGATAAATAGAAATTTCCTGGACTAGCAGTTGGAGGCTATCCGATCGGATTTGTTGCAATCGCGATCCTCTCATGGCAAGAGATCGAAGCTCTGGACCAGTGAGGGGAGTTGGATCGGATCTCCTCTCCAGTCTCCACCCCTCGATTATTACTGCAACAGACGGAGGCGAAGGGAGAAGGATACCAGGGATCTATCACAGGCGTAACGAGAGCCTTCGAATGACGAGGACGAAGAACGTGGGGCTCTGATGTCGTCTCTGGAGCCCGACGCCTCTCCCCGACAGCCGCCGCCGCCGCCGCGAGTGGAAGAGGGAGGAGGAGAGAGAGAGAGACGGATAAGGAGCAACCCTTGAAAATCCGGAAAACATCCGAGCCGTTCGTTGACAAATATATAAATAGGGCTGACTCGCTGGTGGACAGATTACTCGATGTGGGACTAATACAACAATTCAGCCATCTTCATCCACAAGAACAGCTACCGCCCCATCATCGACACGGAGAGGACGAACCAGAAGAAGAAGAAGACGAGGAGGAAGAAGAGAGCGGGGGGTTTCAGAGGGACTGGAGAAGCTTGAGAGTCTCGTCGACGTGCTTCTCTGGCTGGAACTGGTTGTTGTAGACGAGCTGCACCACACCCTTGCGGTCGATGACGTAGGTTTGCCGGCCAGGGAGGGTCCCGAAGAGGTCCGAAGGGACCCCCCAGTCCTTCCTCACCCGGTTCCCCTCGTCACTCAGCAGGGTGAACGGCAGCCGGTACTTCTTCGCAAAAGCCTGCCATCCATGGCGAAAACCAGAAAGCAAGGAGAAGTCAGTCCGAGGGACGATCGGAGAGGACGACGAGCAAGGGGAAGGGGAGCGCACCTTGTGAGAGGAAGGGTCGTCGGCGCTGATCCCTATCACCTCCGCTCCGGCCTTCTTGAATTTCTCGTAGGAGTCCCTGAAGGCGCAGGCCTGGGAAAGAGAGGGGTTCGCCGTAGAATGGGTCATTGGTCAGTCAGTCCTTGAGAAGCTCCGCCACCGGAGTAGGAGATGGATATGGCGGAGATCTTCAAACCCACCTCTTTGGTGCAGCCGGGGGTCTCGTCAGCGGGGTAGAAGTAGAGCACCAGCGGCTTCCCTTTGTAGCTGGCGAGGCTCACGTTCTTGCCGTCCTGATTCTTCAAGGTGAACGACGGCGGCACATCGCCTTTGGAAACCTGGGGAGGCCGGAGATTTGTGTCACAGAGGGCGGGGGATTGAAGTCGCTGGTGGTGGCGCATTGGGCAGAAGGCCGCCGGTTTGGGGAGGACGGAGCAGTACCTTGGCGCAGACGATGGACCTGGTGGCGGCGGCGGCCGGCGGAGAAGAGCAGGATGGGGCGGCGACGCTGGAGAACCTCAGCCCGAAGATCTGTGAGTGCGAGGAACTGGAGAGGACGGGGAGGTGGGCGCGGCCGGCGGCGGGGGTTTTAGGGGACGATGCGTGGAGCAGGAGGAGGGAGTGCCGGGGGAGGGCGGTGGAGGACGCCATTGCAGAGGGGCAGCGGCGGCGGCGGTGGCGGAGGAGGAGGAAGGAGAAGAGTGATCTTTAACAAGGAGGAGGGGTTAAGAAGGGGCGATGGAGAGAGGGAGGGATAGGCTGCGCTCGGCGTGGCCAATTGGGGGCCTCGTAGGTATCCCCCATCAGGAACCGTCCATTCCATGGACTCAATGGGGGGGAAGGGGCCCCATTCCCGCTTCCCCCCCCCCCCCCCCCATTCCATGGACACTAATTATTTTTGCTGGATTTCACCACACCAGTCAACGGGAAAAAAACCCTTTTTTAATCTTCGAAAGGTGTATTTTTTTGCTTTTTTAATGAGGGAGTATCCGAAGGCAGTTCAATGCCTTCGAATTGTATAAAAAAAACATTGGGCTAAGCTCATGTTAGGTTTATTTTTCGCGTAAGATCAATAAAGTCAACGCCCTCTGCTGACACCCGGGGGGGGGGGGGGGGGGTGAATTGACTGATATTCGTTCTGGCCGAAAGAGGTGACATATGATTAGTGGATGACAATTCCACCGTTGACATCCAAAGAGGGACGACGCCAGACCAGTTACCGCTCTCGGTCAGCGGGCATGCCCCGCGTCTGGTTTCTCCATGGGGAACGCCCGTAATCCTCACCAGCAACTAGCACCCGCTGTTCTGTTATGTGTTTTGATCCATCAAACACATCATTCGGTTGGGAGAACAACGCGATTTTCTATAAAAATCAGGTTTTTCTGAATTTTTGTATCTATCTTAAATAATGCAACATATTGTATGTATAATAAGAGAAAATTCGAAATTCGGGCGGTGGGCGTCTTAGATGATCCGAGATGAGGACGATCCGGATAATTATACCGTCTATATTATTTAAATGTACATCATGTGGAGTAGCGATTTGCGATTATAAGAAAAATAATGGAACTCACAAGGCTTGCGCAGCTGAGTTCGAGCTAACCAACAAGCGATAGAGAGAGAGAGAGGGAGAGTTAATAGTTTGAACTGTCTACAGTGTAAAGGACTGGTCGAAGCACCGGTTTAACTCGTAGAAGATAATTCACGTAGGTTACAGTCAATAGTCAACGCCATTATTAGTTTCCTTTGCTCCAAACAGCTCGTGGGCAGTTGAAAAACCCAGCTTTTAAGTCTGCAACAAACGCACCGACAAAGCCCCCTCAACCCGCCCGCAGGTCCACACCCGATTTCTCTAAGCCGGGTTGAAAATATCAGGACTCAGGTTAACACCTCCCCCCCCTCTCTCTCTCTCTCTCTCTCTCTCTCTCTCGCAAGCTTATGGCATGGGAGGACTGTTCTTTGAGAGGGGGGGAGGGGGTTCGATGAAGGGTGGGTTGAAGAGTCTGAGGTCAGGAGGGCAGCCATGCCACTGGCGGCTTCTGGGCTGGTGTTGTTAACGCTTGGGATAATGATGTCCGGGGAGATGAGCCTCACAAACTCTCTCAGCTCAGTGAAGCTGGAATGCTCGCTGTAGGGGACTTCATACCTGAAGAAATCAGATATCAGATCAGTAATTAGGAGATCTTACAGCAAAACATGCAGATCTAAACGATTACAAGGAAGCGAGGAAGAGAGGGAGAGATGAGTCTTTCTATGATGAGTTGACCTGATAATGGTTCCCTGCTGCCACCTCGTCCCAAGAGCCTTGTTCTTCTTCTTCTTCCCCTTCCCATAGCTCCACCCAGTAGGGGAGAAGGCGACCATCAGATCGAAGCGGTTCTATAACAAGAGCATAAAAAGATTATGAGCACCGATCATCGTCGTCGAATTATTTGTAGTCATCGAATTCTCTGAGAAGCTGACTCACAGAATAATGTTTCCATAAATGGTTCATCCGCTTGAAGCTCGCGATTGTCCACATGGGCACGACGTGGACGTGGCTCTCCATCTCATTCTCTGTAAGCCAATCCATGTCCTCCTGGGGAAGCCCCAGGCACTCCAGCAGCCTCAGCTTCGCTGCCCCAACGTACACCTTCTTCCTCAAGACCCGGGCAATCTCCAGGAATATCCTCTCCTTTCCTGCACTTGAAATGGAGATAGTAGCATCAGTAACTTAATATATCACTCTTAGAGGCTATCCCTACTGCACTCATAGTAGCATCAATTCATTTTTTCTTGCGACAAGTAATTGATGCATATGGAGAGAGAGATACCGATTGTGTAGCTACCGATCAGGAAGAGGGTTTTGGGATTGAAAGCTTCAGCTTGAATGGCCTCGACTATGAACTGTACGACGGCGTCCTGCCTCGGGAAATCATACTGTAGGAAATAATAAGAATCTATGGTCAAGTCTCCGAGATGTAGAGCCCAAGCTGATATGAGTTGCTTACTTGGGGATTGCAGTAGGTCGTATCAAGTATGAGAGTGTGGATACGGCAAGATCTCAGAATAGGACATCTGCCCAGGTCCTCGCAATATCGGAAGTCTCCAGTGTGCAACACTGGCTGAAACCAACAATCAGATGATTCAGATTCCAAGAAAAACCAATAATCATGATACGAATGGGAAATCATGTGGGGAAAGGTGATGGGCCCTCACCTTGCCATTAGGGGGCTCAAAGAGGATGATTATAGAACCTGGGCAATGATTTGCATCCACACATGTCACCTCGACACCAGAAATATTAATCCTCTCGTTGAGAGGTAGAACATGTAGGATGTTCCAGTCAATGCCGATCTTGGAATTCAAGAGGCGGGCGGTGATTGAGGAGCAATATATCTTCCCGTGGCGGAAGCTCCTGGTAAGCCCTTGATAATCTGCGAGAAAAATAATCATAACTAAACCTTAAGAAATCTTATTTACTGCCACTTTGTTTCTATGTTCTTTGCTGTTCTATAGTAATTTTATACGAGTGATTCCCTGGTTATACTAGCAAGTCCTAATGTTTGAGACTAGAAAGATTTTGACTTTCTTGCGAGTCTGGTTCTCTTTTACTTCCAAATTACTAGTTCTCGATGGAAACTTACGATCCAGATGGAAGTGTGTGAGGAACCAATGTGAGCAATCTCCCCAAAGATAACGGAATGCATCCTGTTCACAAACGAAAAGATTCTGTTAGAACCCTCCGATCCAAGATCTGCATAAAAATGTTGAGAAATTTTCAGGGTTTTTCTGCAAGCGACTGAACACAACAGATCCCATGTGAGGCATTCAAACTGTAGAATTCATCAAAATGCACAGGAAAGATGAGGAGAATTCTCTGCTCAAACCTCAAATAAGCTAATCAAGTGAAGGAAGTTACACATGTGGGAGATCAACTCATTACGATACCCACGTGTATATCTATATCTATATAAATATATATCTAGCTATATATATATATATATATATATATATATATATATATATATATAGAGAGAGAGAGAGAGAGAGAGAGGCCGTCTAGAAGTTCAGCCGATTAGCAGGGAATCATATTCTTCCCCCAAAAGAGTACTTGTAGAAAATTCTATTAACCGAGAAAAAATAAAGGATTAATTGAAAATGAAGGACTTCTTGTACCACTCGGAAAGGTGTTCCTGGGATGCAACACCAAGCGGGAATATCTTGATATCTTAAACTGCTTCTGTGACCCCTCCTTCCGGTCTCCTTGTTGGCCCTCTCGACCTTCCTTGGAGGCTTGGTGGCGCCACAATCTGGAGGTGCTTCAGGGACGGTCTGACATCTGCTTTGGACAGGTCTGGGACCCCGAAAAAACTCTGTAATCAGTTTGTTCCCACCAAATTGCTTCGCCTTGTCGCTAGAATTTGCATTAGAAATGCCTGATCCTGTGGTTCCGCTATGACTATTTCCTCGCATCCCATTGAGAGCATGCACAATCCTCTTCCCTGGACCAAGGGCGTCGATGCCCAGATTGAGCAGATCCTGGAAGGAGTTGACGCTGGTCAAATTCAACTCAGAAAAATATCACTTTTGCAGAAAAATATGACCTTGGGATTATCATCCCAGAAGAATATAGACTGAAAAATGATGCGGCAACAGGTGTCGTTGATGCAAGTTTGCTGCTTTTCTTGGAGCAAACAGAATAAATAGAATCGCAACTGATGACAAGATAATATGTTATGGTACCTCCTCTGTTAAACATTGAAGGGTGTCCCAATCGATCTCCTCTCTGACAAATACTTCTTCGTACCTGGATAAACCCAAAGTCTTCAACCACTGAATCAATGGAGTGCTGTCGACGGCTGGCTTATCTGAAGATGGGTTTCTTTCTTTGGAGGAAACCGTCACCTGCGAGAGCAAGATTCTGCTAAATGAGAGCATAATTATAGTAAGATAAGCCATGAGAATTGTTTTCACGACAGCGTATTATTGTGGCATGAAATGTACAATAAATTGAAAGCCAAGTATAGATTAGCAAGCATATTTTCCGATCAAAGAAATCATTCTTGATGCAAAGAAAGTATGGAAATTGATCATGATTTTCTGTTTGGGAATCCAATGTAGCAGTTTCAGTGCATGCAAACGGGGCGGAAAAGAACGAGGGAGGTGGTGAGGAGACTTTGCCTTCGCCTGTTCTTCTCTGTCTAGGCAAAGATTCGTGTGGGCAATCCGCAGCTGCTCCCCCAGCTCTGTAATATCCGTCCCGCAAATAGGACACTCCACCAAAGTTCCAGAGGCATTCCCCTTTTCAAAGGGGATCCCATAATCCAGATTTCCTCCTTCATCCAATTCCGAGCACAGATTCATCAGCTCCTTTAGCTGGGTTCCTGCCTCAATGTCCTCACTCAGATCTTCTCCTTGGCAGTCGTCCACCATCCCTTCACCGCCACCCAAGCAAGGCCCTAATAACCTGACCTCGATTGGTATGCAGCAGTAACTCTCCTTCTGCGCTGAACATGTCTCCCTCTCCCTGCCGCCGTCGATTTCTCTAGCTTGACTCGATCTTGCTTCCGATGATTCTTCAACGGCTTCTTCAGTTAAAACCAGTTTACTGGTATTTGGCTCTCTGGAATCGCCGCCATTCCCTCCACGCCAACCAAGTCCCGTAGATTTCCCCGGGGGGACACCATTGATCCTTTTTACCTCTCCCACTTTAGCAATCTCGTGAAACGCACAAGAATCCACGGACGGATTTCCGAGAGTTTCTGCGGCACGATGTGGAGTTGGATTCACCTCCGCTTTATCACCCATGGCGGCGCTGAGTTGACGCTGAATCTTCCGTGAGACCTCCCTGTTCTCCTTCCCCCCGACAGCGGGGGCGACCTTCACCCTCTTCCTGGGGCGATTGGCGCCATTGGATGGTCCAAGGGGCAGTGAGCCGGAGGATTCCCTTCTCCCTCTTGAGGCACCCTTGACGGACCAGGGGACGAGGCGCTTGGCGAGGGAGATGTAGCCGACTGGCTCCTGGAAGTCGTCGTCGTCGTCGTCGCCCCCCATAGCGAAGGCTACCGCAGGGCTCCGCCTCTCCTCCTCCTCCGGTGTTTCGGCAACGGCGAGCGCTCCTCGTCCTCTCCTCCCATCTCCGTTTGAAATGAAATCGTTGGAGGGAAAGGCGACAAACACCCGACGTACTTCCCCTGCTCTTCCCCAGTTTGTACCGCCGCCATCCGACTACCCATTCGGAAAACGCCACACCACCCCCGATGAAAACATGCGGAGTCCCCACATAACGCCGCCACGCAGGTCCCACGCAAGTAGCGGGTTGCAACTGCGGGCTCATCTGTATTTCATGCTCTGTGAACTCTGAATGTGCATAACTCACGAGAGAGTATGAGGAAACCCACCCCCTTTCTTCCCGTCACCATAACCAGGGAGGAGGAGGAGGAGGAGGAGGAGGAAGAAGAAGAAGAAGAAGAAGATCAATCATGGCGAATTCCTCACCAGCCGGCCCGTCTCATCATAACGGTCCAAACCAGGACAGGGCTCGGGGGAGATGGGCCCAATGGCCCGCCCCTGTATGAAGGCGCACTCAAAGGCATCCTTCTTCTTCTTGTCGACCATGCCGATCTCCACGTCTCGGAAGGTGACGCCCTTCACTGGGATCTCCTGGGTGCCCTGAATTCTGACTGGGGCCCGCACCCGGCGGCCACGTATCCCCATGTAGGTGACGTTGCAGAGCTCAGGGAAGGCCTTGGGGTCAAAGCCTTCATCCGCGTGCTCGTTGTAGTTGGTCTTGATCACAATTCCCACACGGACATCTTCTAAGGTCACGTTCTGGTAGGTGATGTTGCGGACATAGCCGCCTCGTCCCGCGGCGGTCTTGATCCTCAGGCCCCTCCTGGAGCTCCACACCGTGACGTTCTCCACGGTGACGCCGGAGACCCCGCCGGACATCTCGCTGCCGATCGATATCCCGGCGCTGCAAGGAGGAGATGGGAGGATCGTATCATTGAGGAGGGGGTTGACTTTTGATGCTGGCAGCTGGTCATGGATTGATGATGGCGATCTTGGATTCTCAGGGGAAGAAAGGTTTGGAAGTGCTCGACTGTAGAAGTATATTGCAGATTGCGTTTGTGGGGAAGAAGAAAAAAACCATATTTCAAGGGGATACTGAAGATGGCGAAGAAAACCATCACAGGCACATGATCCGACGGAAGAAATTAGGAATAAAATATATTCCTTTGGCCATAAATTGCTTCCCTGATTGCAAGAAACATACAGAATTCAACAAATTCCCAGAGGACCCGCCCTCTGATTGCACCAACTGACGTGAATCTGGATATTCTATGAAATTGACTTGCCTGGGAGAGAGTCCAAGAACCTCACCTCACGTTGGAGCGAACAACGAGATTGCGTATTAGGATGTTGGTAGATGGCCGGCCATAAGAAATTCCATACTGGTCCCAACCGCTCTTTATTGCTATTGCATCATCCCCCACGCAAATGTAACAATTCTCTATCACTACATCCTCGGACGAATCTGCATAGAGCCATCTTTTCGTCAAAGAAAGGAACATACATATATCACATGCAACCAATACTACACCTCACTGCTGAGATCTAGACGAGATTTTATGGGCTTAGAGAGAATTCAGTAAGTTTGGTGCAATACAAATTTACATGGTTGAGTGAAACTTTGCTAGCAGATGGTTATAGCCAAAAAGATGGAAGGGGTTCCTCTTCTACACGGTCATATCGAGAAATAATCAAGGTAAGATTGAAAAGAACTCAGAGAGAGAAGATGATAATAATGTAAAAGCAACCTCAGCTGTAGAATACTGGTGAAAGCAACTACTAGGCGCCTGAAGTCAATTAATCCATTCTAACCTGGATCTATCCCATCTGTGTTAGGAGCCTGAAACACGGGGGCTAAGATTGTCACATTTGAGATGGTTACATTCTTGCAGGCATATGGATGGAGCGTCCAGAAAGGAGAGTCACGTAGTGTTATGTTCGCTATTACTATGTTTCTTGACCACATAAGCTGCACGAGAGGACCCCTCGTGTAGTTGAGTAGTTTACGGTAATGCTTGGTCCACCATGATCTGCCTTGCCCATTGATAGTACCATTTTCCCCTGTAATGAAAAAATGAAAATATTATCATAAAACTCATCCACAAAGTGAGAGAGTAAGTCTCTGTTCAAAGGACAGACATGATAGTGAAGCAAATTTGTGGATTCGATTTGCATGTCAGTCAAAAGAACCACGAGGAAAAAAGCATGGAGTGAAGCAAATTTGTGTGTAGTAGAACAAGAAGAGGTAGAGTTAAATACCGACCTGTTATAACAACATTCACGAGATTTTGACCGTGTATCAGACTCCCATATCGAGGCCCTCGCTGCTCCCTTCCATATCCGTATGAGGGCAATGGCGGCATCAAGGGCCAGTATTTCTCATCCTATCAAATGTTATGACACAAGAATATTATTGCAACCTACTTCGATAAAAAAAAAATTCAGCTTTTTATATCTCAGGCTATGCAAAACACTATTATTTGTTAAATCAGCATGGAGTGATATGTCATGGATCATAGTCCCTGAAAATTTTTCAAGCCCAGAACTGTTCACCAGAGTCATAACTACTTCTTATGGAAATATCATATAGCACATGATTTTGCGTTCTTGTCGGCTGTAGAGCTAGGAAACTCAGAGTGAATGACCTGGTGTAGCACACCTTGATAAAGTACTTGGAAACTAAAAACTTGGAACTGTCGCTCACAGAGAGAAGACTGTTGTGTTCTAGATGTCAAGAGTTTTGTAACAAAAGGAATCCTAACTTATCCACCGAGATTATGGGGACGATCCATGGCCAATAATTGGTAAGAGGCGAATCTAGGTCCATGTTCCAAATTTGGCAGATGCCATCGACCATCACAGTCGATCACAACTGCGATGTTTAGATGAGGATGCGATTTCTTACATGAAATATCAAAATTCCTAACTATTTTGATAGCCAAGAGGATGAAAAACTAAATTTAGATGAAATAAGAATAATCAAAGACATTCTTCAATTCACATTATTTTCTTAAATTCTGCGTGAGAAGGGAATTAAAAAAAAGGTAAGGATATACTTGACCAAAGAGTAAAGAGACGGTTTTTCCAACATGCGAGTAATACCAGGGAGAAAAGTAATAAATGATCCAATAGTTAGAAATCGCAGGAACGAGTGATCCATTGGCATCCATCTTGGAGGGAACCTTCTACGGAGCATGACTGTTTGAAGGATACTACTGTTCAGCGTTGCTTGGAGAATTTAATATGAATCTCGAGCTCCGAACAGTTCATCCATGTCACCATGAAATAATTGACTAGCATTTCACATATAACCTGACATTTTGTCCTTGAAGGTAATAAAATCAATTTCCAAGCGAGTTCATCTGATTTATTGTATATTAACCGATATGGAGAGAAAATAATCAGGAGGAGGATATAATACTCACGTTTATTCCCAGTATCTCTGCCCCTTGAGCAAGGAACAGCGTCATGTTGCTGGTTAGATTAAAGGGGCCGGTGAGCCACTTCCCGGCCGGCACATTAAGCTGTCCGCCGCCCTTTCCCCCCAGCAACTTGATCGCTGCAACGGCGTTCTCGAATGCTCCCGTATTCAACGTGATCCCATCACCAACACCGCCGAAGTCCGTTAGGTCAAGCGCCCGTGCTCGAAGCGGCGCTGGTCTCGCCGGGGGCGTTAGCCTAAAGATCCGAAGCCTGTCCACAGATCCCCCCTGCCATACGAACACCGACGCCAGTCCTACAATCCACAGCGCCGCAAGCATCGTCTTGTACGAAGAAACTAACCCCAAGATCCATAGGTTGTGAAAGTGGAATCTCCCGCTCGGCGAAGACGGCAACGTGTCCGACATGATGAAATTTGGGATAATACGTTCAGCTAAAGGATCCAGTTTCCACAGGAAACAAGAAATCTCCACGAGCTGGATCCAATTGCCGTGGTTGGAACGGGGATCCCGGGAGGAGGGGATCGCGATTCCAGAGCATCAGTTACGGAAGAGGAAGACAATCTTTAAGCACGGCAGGAATGGAGTAGCTTGCAAGGGGAAGCCGGAGTAGAGATGTGTTCGGTAGCGTCTCCACCCATCACTCGCCATTTCAAACCTGCTACGGCCGGCGCGCCCCCCGCCCCTCCCCCCCACCACTTAGCGGAAGAAACAGAAGACTTCCCAAAGGGGAAGACGACTCTGAACTACTTTGTTTCATTTAAGCCATCCATTAGTTCAAAGTTGTCTAAATTACCCACGCATAATGACATTTGCTCGGGCATCCCATCAGTTTGTAGGACCCACTTGGGGCGACTCGCCCCCTACATTTTCTGTATAAAAAAGTATTAACGAAACTTTCAACATAATAGTTTATTTCGAAGAGTAGGAGTCGGTGTACGTACGTCCGTGGGGCGGAAGGTCAGAGTAGAACGTTGACTTTTTCATCCCCCCAACTGCTAATCCTAACTTATGCGCATTCATTCTAGCAAAAATAATTGTAGTATAGGACAGTATTTTATTGCATCGTCGATCGATTACATTGGAAACGTGGCGGCATGTGATTAGACGTATCCGCGGAACCGCTCGCAGCTCCGTCCACGTACCCTCAAAGGAGGGCCTTTCTGTCTACACAGCGTTGTTCTGGTCGTTACCTGATGAGGTGACGTCACCGACGGTTCTGAGATTACGGACCCAGACGGCAATTGGGCTGGCGTGGGGAGCCAGCTGGCCACTCCCAGTTCGCCTTGCGGGTCCCTTTTCGCCGGAGGATTTTTGCCTAAAGTCTCCTGAAAGCTACCACCCATGCATAAAACTCTTGAATGTTTCCCAAAAAAATATTTCCGGGTGAAATAGTCGTTGTTCAAATAAATAATAGTATTTTGAGGGTATTTATGAAAAGACGTTAATATGAGGGGGTAAGAAGGGGAAAAATATTACAAGAGTGGGCACTCTCCTGCAAACTTGGCGGTTTCTTTCCAGATCCTTCCTAAGACTACTGCCCCCCCCCCCCCTTCCCTTATCTCCTTGCCTCCGACTTGGACTATTCAGCCCACGCCGGAATGGACGGCTGGGATGGAGAGGAGGCGGCGCCGCCTTCCGCCGCCGGGCTAGCGCCGCCGATAGAAGTGATGGCTGCGGAGATGCTGATTCTGCGGCGGGACGCCGGCGCACCGGCGGAGCTCGGCGGAAGGGTGCTCTTCGACGGCGGAGACCGCGGCGACGCCGATCGATACCTCCGTGCCGTGGACGAGATCCGGCGATACTTGGAGGTCGCCGGCGGGAGCGGCGCTAGCCCGCAGCTGGCGGCTGCGATCCAGGTGGCTATGGCGCGGCTGGAGGACGAGTTCAGGAGCATCCTGGTGACGCGGGTCAACGCCGTGGAGATCGACTCGCTGGCTGCCAATCTGAGCCTGGCTTCTCTGTCGTTGGCGGACTTCTCGACGGAAGGTAGCGGAGGGGTGAGTGAGAGTTATTTCGGGGAAGACAGCGCGGAGGTGGAGGAAGAGGGCGCGGAGGGGAGCAGTTTCCACTATGGGGAAACGATCAGCAGGACCTCTACTACGACGAGCAATAACAGCTACCGGTTTGGGAGCAGCATCCGGGAGGTCGATCTGTTGCCAGATGACGCGATTGAGGACCTCCGGAGCATTGCGGAGCGGATGGTGGCTTCAGGCTACGCCCGGGAATGCTTCCAGGTCCACGGGAGCGTACGCAAGGCGGCGGTGGACCGCAGCCTCTGTCAGCTCGGCGTTGAGAGGATCAGCATCGGCGACGTGCAGCGGCTAGATTGGGAGGTTCTGGAGGGGAAGATCCGGCGGTGGATCCGTGCTGCCAGGGTCTGCATCCGCGTGGTCTTCCCTAGCGAGCGGCGTCTGTGGGATCAGATATTCGAGGGGATCGTCGCCGCCGGTGGGGACGATTCACCCTTCGTGGAGACAGTGAAGGGCGCGGCGATCCGGCTTCTAAACTTTGCCGAGGCCATCAGCATCAGCCGCCGGACCCCAGAGAAGCTCTTCAAGATATTGGATCTCCACGACGCGCTCTCTGAGCTCCTCCCCGATGTGGCGTATGTCTTTCTCCGGCTCCGGGCTTCAGATCCCATCCACACCCAAGCGACTGAGATCGTTCATCGACTTGCTGAGGCTGCACGGGGGATACTCTCAGAGTTTGAGAGTGCGGTTCGCCAGGATCCTTCCCGGATCCCTGTTCCCGGTGGTACAGTCCACCCGCTGACGAGATACGTGATGAACTACACCTCGCTCATCTCAGATTACAAGGCCACCCTCACCGAGCTGATCGTCGCGATGCCGTCGTCGCCAACTGGTTCCCGGTCTTCAGAGACGTCAGGGGAGGGCGACACTTCGCTCCCCATGATGGAGATGGACGTGCCAGAGGTGGAGGGTCAGTCCCCTCTTTCAGCTCATGTTACCTGGATCATCGTCCTCCTCCAAAGCAATCTCGAGAGCAAGGCTACGCTCTACAGGGACGGCGCGCTGTCCCACTTCTTCCTCATGAACAACGTCCACTACATTGTTCACAAGGTGAGAGGGTATCCCGAGCTACGGGAGATGATCGGAGACGACTATCTGAAGAGACTGACGGTGAAATACCAGCAGTCGGCGACTAGCTACCGGAGGTCAACTTGGAAGCGCGTTCTCCAATGGCTAAGGGAGGAGGGTCTACCATCGAGTGGGAGCTTCTCTTCAGGCATCTCCAGGAGCGCGTTGAGGGACCGATTCAGGGCCTTCAATTCAGCCTTTGATGAAGTCCACCGGGCGCAGGCTTTGTGGACTGCACCCGACCCCCAGCTTAGGGAGGAGCTGAAGATTTCAATATCAGAGTTGTTGATACCTGCTTACCGTGCTTTTCTAGGTAGGTTTCGTCACCACATTGAGAGTGGGAGACACCCTGAGATGTATATCAAGTACTCGGTCGAAGACCTTGAGGTGGCACTATCGGAGCTCTTTGAGGGTAGCTCACCTTCACTTCATAACAGGAGACGATCCCATGCATGAAGAAAAAAGCTGTGTTATAGTTGCAGACCGCTGGGTACACTAAATTGTATTCTTTCAATCTTTTAAGGGCTTGATTCAGCAGGGGTAGTTCCAGGTTCAGCAGGACTCGATTCTTGTACAACATGGATGGGTTGCCTCCATGGATTTGACTGCGAACAAAAGGGAAGATATGTAGGCCGGCTGAAGGCAGTACCTGGATAGCCCTTTCCTCTGTAAGCAAATTGATTTAATTTCTGGCATGAACTCGCGCTTTACCTTCACTGTGCTCATATAAAAAGCATGGTTCAGCTTGTTCTTCCTCTTTGGACTTGAGTCGCTCACATTTGATGCTCCGGATGCTATAACCACTCGCGGATGATCTAACTTTAGCACTGTCTTATGATCGATTGATTGAAGTCCTCTTGAGCGAGGACTTCAAACTTGATTGATTGATTGATTAAATCAATAGAACGAGCGAGGACTCCAAACTTGGTATGCCACCTTCTGAATTGGTGACCTCTGAAGCCCCTCCATCCCAAGTACGGAATCATCGTCAATGCTTCCAGGATTGATTTCTGGCATCGGGGCAGTGCTGCGAGTCTCATCGCCCAGCCACACTCATGCTTCTTGATGTCTCTTCGTATTTGACTCTAGACTCCTGAGAATTTGAATTATATGACGAGCAGTTGCCCGCCTGTTATTATCCATCCCTCTTCCAGACTCTTTTGGAATCGTCGTAATTCTTTCATCCCAAATGCATCTCTGCATCGTGGTATCCGCCCAAGGCATTGTAAACTTCATAAATTTCCATGCAGATTCGGTGTGTATGGACAGAACATGTTGCGAACCCAACATCAAAGGACCTCTTCGTCGATTTTCTTGTGGAAATTTCATACTAATGTGTAGACTTTTCAGGTTTGAGCTCGCCAAATTGCAGCCGGCTGTGGAAGGGACTGACTGCGCATGCGCCTACCTAATCTTCAATTCAAGACGAATTCCTACGGGTAGCGTGAAAACTTTGCCAAATTCTTCCTGCTCAATGGTCTGTTCAACGGACCCACCCTCTCCAGTGGACAACCGCGATCTTCTTTCCAAAGCATAATTGTTTTATATCTGATATTAGTTATTTCTTGGCGCAGCTTTGTTCCGCTGCCTAATTAGCTGTGGCGAAATGGATGAAACAGGGAAGGGGACGTCTTTTCAGCGTATGCCATGAACATCATCAGGGGAGTCCTGCTGTCCCAGCCCGGCCATCTTTACCCTACACACAAACAGAGAGAGAGAGAGAGAGAGAGAGAGAGAGGGTGCCACATGGATGATCAACAGAACTGCCACGCGTCACGGAGAGTGGGTCCCACAGCCCCTGACCGTAGCTACCCGGAAAATGAAAAGGTGAGTTATGGGCCTTTGGCACTCCGGCTTATGATTTAATTATGTCGGAAATTGTATGCGAGATATTTCCCTCTGAGAAGAGCCGCATGCTGCCCGGAGCAATGGGCTCCGGGCTTCCCGTGAGACAGCGATATATCGTAATAGAGACCATGCGACCTTGCAAATTAGAGGCATGAGCGACGCACGGACCATTTCAAGAATAATTTATCTTTTCAGTCCTGTCGGAACGCAGCCATGTTGAATTCATGCTCGGTGGTAATATCAGTTGGGGGGTTATCCATTTACCAAAGTTAAACCATGCAAGTGCATCATCACATTGGGCAAACAAGAAAAAAAAAAAGAAAAAGAAAAAGAAAAAAAACCACAGCTCCTCGCTCCTGGTTCTTCTTTCCCTGCCCATAAAGAGTCAAGAGCCTCTTCGTTGACATCTATCTAGTCTCGCAGATCCCATGTACATGTCAACTCACAACTAGGAGATCCCGTTTACTTGGGACCGTAGGAGAACACACCATGGGCATGGACATGGACGTGGACATGGACATGGACGTGGACATGGACATGGACGTGGACATGGACATGGACGTGGACATGGACATGGACGTGGACGTGGGCATGGACGTGGACGTGGACATGGGCATGGACGTGGACATGGACATGGGCATGGGCATGGGCATGGGCATGGGCATGGGCATGGGCATGGGCATGGGCATGGGCATGGGCATGGACCTGGACATGGACATGGCCATGGAGGGGGAGCTTAAGATCATCTCGGTGTTCACTCGAGGGGAAGTATGACCACTACTCCCTCTTGCCCTCCTCAACCGGGGTGGGGTCGATCGTCAGGGCAGTCTTGCCATCTGGGGATGACAAGTTCCAATTATCTTTCGACCGCAGGGGGGCAGGCTTTATCAGAGAGATGGTGTCCTCTTGGTCCAACTCCTCGCTGCCATCATCTGAGTAGGCATATCTGAGGAACAAACAGGACGGAGAAGCATTACGTCTATGTTTTTTAATATATGATATCCTTCTCGTCATGAATCTACATCGTAGCGTAGCGTAGCTTTTGTAGAACATTTTGGAAGCATTAGTCCGAGGCCTCAGAAAACAAACCCAAACAGGAAATTCGTAAGAAAACAAACCGAAACATTATTATGATGGGAGGGTGTAATCAGAAGGTGGAACCAATTAAAAGAACCGATTTCTCTACCAGCGCAAGAGGTTTGGTGAAAGAACATTAAATCAAGAAGGAACCTTAAAAGCTTTAGGTCAGGCTGATTCACGGAATGTCTGTCCTGGGGCATGCTTGATTTAACTATATAAGGGCCTCTAACCTACTCTACTCAACTGTTGATCGGTTTCCAGTCGGAATGATTGATTATTTAATGCGAGCCAATGCAACCAGTTTACAGGGTATTTGAAGCACTGCAGGTTCGGCTGCTGCATGAAACACTGTAGAAACCACTCTCTAGGGGTCATGATTAAGGTCGTGATTTAACTTCTTGTCAAAGATATTATAAATTCTACGCGACCTTTTCGATAAATATTGATCCAGGAGTGCAGATTATATACTTTATAAACAGGGCATCATACGACTGAGAGAAGCTTCAGGCATCACAAATTCGCAGGAAACTCACCGTGTTGAATTCTGAGAGGGTGCCCAAAGGGCACATATGATGCACAGAAGCGAAAATGACAGACCATGCCAAAAGGCAGGAATGACCCAGGCATTCTGCCACCGCTCATTGTACACATCGGTTGATTTAAAATAAATCTGCAAAAAAAAAAAAAGATACTTCGATATTACTGCATCGTCGTTTGTAGAGGAGATGCAAACATGTCTCTGAAAGTCATTGATTGGATTTTTTTTTGAAAAGGGCAGATGCCAATGAATTAAATGCAATAAGTGACAGAAAAGGTGAACCTCTCCTGAATCATGTAAAAGTACGAACTTATTTTCCCAAAATATTAAACGAGTTGATGAATACTACCTCATAACAAATCCAACCAACTGATACAATGACAGCGGCACACAATGCATTGGTGAATTTGCGGTACATCTCTAACTTGGCTGTTAACCTCTTCGCCTGTTTTCATGAGCAAACTAACTCTCAGGAAGAGCACCATTAATCACGGGGCAAAAAAAGCATGGAAAAAACATAAATTGGCACCTGTAGTTTTTCCAGGGTTTTGGAGAGAGAGGTGAAAATCCAAAGAATGAAAAATGCATCCAAAACCGCCACAGGAAGAACCAAAAACAGAATTGCCTTCCCTGAAAGATCATTTATAGTACCAGCATTCTCCACCAATTCAAGCACCTCAGATGCTAGAAAAAAGGTTGCTCCGAGCATGATCACCTTCGAAGTAAGACCACCCAATGTAGGCCTAAGCACACCAAAACCCATAGAAACAACAAGCATGATAACACGTGAGACCGTTCGCCTAACAGCACCAAATGTCACTGCCCAAATAGTAATTCCAATTGGTCGAACTCCAGTCTTGTTGAATTCTGCATACTCAAAGTACCACAAAGCTGTCTCAAACATGCCAAGGGCGATCACAAGAGTAATGCTGTTCTGAAGTTGAAGAACCTCCCTCCAGAATCTTGCATACTGCAAGAACCAGAAGATGCCGAGTACAACGAAAGCAAGAGATATTCCTCCATAAAACTTCAAGAGTGGAGACATCCTTCCAGGCAGATATCCGCTAGGGTTCTTCCAGATGGTTTTCCCTTCTATAACTAAACCACTGAGGCTCGGGTCACAGTATATGAAATATAGATTGTACATTCCCGTCCTCGTGATGTGTACAGTTTCAGGTAATAATGTAGCAACAAGATCATTTCCCTTAAATGTCACCGTTAACACCTGTGGCCACTCTGGGTTATGCTCTGAAGGCCTATAAATGACTCTGCCCTGAGTGCAGGCACCTAATTTCGCCAGGTCAGGCGTGCAACAAATTGCTCTCTGACCACCATAAGCTGACCCGCCAATAGTCTCTCGATCTTCAACCTCAAAAATAATAGCTTGAACGTACTTCGTGTCATCTTCTTTACTGGACGTGGAGGGCTCCTTTGGCCTTCTGAATGTTATCTTCTCAAAACTGATAGGAACAAGGAAAAAAAGCAGAGATCATAGGAAAGATTATTTCATCTGAGATTAGTAAATAATAAATAGTATGCACGTTCCATACTGATGATGAATCGTCACCGTATTAATTCACACAGTTCAGGGCCGTGAGATGTCTGTTTATGTTTCTTCTAGCACCTAATTTAATAGGACAGTCTTTAAGAGACTAGACGCTCTGGACTCTAAGACTGAACGCTGAGCAAACATCCAACTGCATCAGACCCAAGACCTGGATGACACAGCTATTTAAGCTAAGAACTATGAACCATGAATACACAATAGGATACAGATTGATATTCACTTGCTCAAAAGAGGTAATAAAGTACATCACTGGTATGTTCATGTGCTCATCATCATCCGATCAGGCTTCTAAGAAATATCCGGAAAAAATAGTAAAAAAGGAGAATAGATTATTTTTTCACTCTCGAATGTTGCTAAATTTCATCTTGATAAAAAAAATATTTTACACAATGACGAACTAGAATTAGATTCATAGAAGTAGGGTTTTCCTTTCCAGGCTACTTCTCGAACCATCCAAAGGACCAATAGGTGAACTAGGACAGAATTGAGCGCAGAAGAAAGAGAGGAAATGAAAAACAAGTTATGCGGGTCAGATCCATTGCATCCGGAACCCTGATCGCACGAATGTACAGCATGGGACTTGATCAGCTAAAGAAGCAGCAGAAATACCAAAAACGATTAACAGGTGATAATAAATTCTCAGGTATCCACTGTTAAGTAAGAGCCAGATGCAAGCACAGGATTTAAGACTAACGGAGAAGGGGGGAAGAGAGAGAGAGGGAGAGAGAGAGCGGGGAGTAACCGAATGAAGGAGTCGCCATTTCCGGAGGCTGGCGATCGAATGTTCCCACCGGTGGTGAGGGAGGAGGCGTAGAGGCCCTCGCTGCCGCCATTGAGAACGAAAGCATTCCCTCTGGGGATGAACTTCTCTTTGGCGTAGTCGTGGACGGAGGCGTCGACGAGGACATCCAAAGCGAAGAGAGCCAGCAAGGCCAGCAGCAGGGAGGCAGAGATCCTGGGAGACACCCTCGGCTCCATTACCGCGCGGAGAAGAACAGAGCAGAGAAGACGGAACAGAGACAGAAAGCTTGATGCCTGGATCTGGGGTCTCTACTTTGAGCGAGAGAGCAAGCGAGCGAGAGAGGGGGAGAGAGCGTGACTCCAGTTATGATCAAACGAAAAAGACAGTCAACTCCGAAGGAAAAGGACACGTTCATATGTTTATTTCCAATCCTAAAAAAACTTTTAAAATAAAAATAAGGTAAATGCATAATTTTTTATCCGAATAATCAGCTTTTTTTTTAGTCGCTGGGATGGACTCAGTGGCTAACTCTCCTTTCACTCCAAAACTATAAAATTATAGAATCTAAAAGGATAATTATTGTAGCTAAGGTAATTTTCCATGTGGTCACTAGAGGTGTCAATGACCCAAATGATTAGAACTACCAAAGCATTTTCTTCGATCACTTTCACTGGGCCCCCCCTTTAATTGGGCTTGGGGTTTAAGGAATTCAAAATTTTCCATAGTATTGTTAAAATTTATAAATGTATTTAATCAAAAGTGTGTCTTAAGGTATACAAGAATTGTCAAAAATTTATATGTTGGATTTTAAGTTGCATTGAGATCAAGAAGGGGATGGGGTAGATTTGATTTGATCCTAATTTGATCTTAGTTAACTATTTTACCCATATCAATTTTAATATTTCTAATCTTTGATTATCTTGGGTATCCTTAATCTAAATCTGGAGTACTCTAAGATTTTTATCATGGTTCAACCCCCTACCTCTGTCTATTATTCAAGAACACTATATTCTTGAGTTTCACTAAAAAAAATGTTTGGCTAACAAATATTGATTATCAGCTCAACCTTTGTAGACCTCAGCTCTAAAATTCTCTTATACATTCATGACTCTAGGAGTTCTATCATTGATTATAAGGATCAATTCCTCTGAGTGATTAAATAAAGATTTAGTTATATGTTTTTTTTGTATAAGAGAAGGGATAATTTTATCATGGAATAGTTTAGATTATTGATGTTGACTTAAGGTATAAATAAAGTTAATGAAAAGAATGTTGAATTGTGTTTAATTTTCCTTCTCCTGTTCATATATGGAAGTTATTTGAATGTGGAAGACACTACCACATCAATCAAGTTGATGATCATTACTTTTTAATCAATTTTTTCTTCTCAACTTGTAGTCTTCTTGACATTTTACCAAACTTTAAATACCACTTTAATTTGGACCTAATTCTTTAAATAAAATCTTAGAAAGATTCTCAAGATGGTAATACAACCATATTTAATTGTCATGAAGTAACTAGTCATCTAAGAAATGCTGAATTTATAGAGAGTTTTGATTTTGAAACCTTCCATGCTTCCTACCATTTCAGTAGCGATACAAACTGTTAGAAACCAATATGACCTTTCCATTAAGTACTACTGTATATATCTCAATCTTATCAATTCAAATGAATATGATAAGAATCTATTACCATTAACAAAGAACTGAAAATACAACTCAAAATAAACTAATGATTTCACATTCAAGTTTAATCAAAATCACATCAAATAATTTAAAATATAAAGTGAACACACTAAATTATGATTTCAATACGAATCATAATTACTTTGACGACTTAAGATATTTCATTTTTTTCAAATAATTTTCCTTGATATTCTAAAAATCAGTGGTTGTTTAAAAGTTACGATTCTATTGATTAATGTAAAATAAAAAATAATCAGAAGTAATGGTTTTACATCATGGACAGTTAATATACTAGATAAGCTATTGTAGCCATATTTTACATCAATAATCCTTATTAAATCTGATGTGATAATCATTAGTTTCCATCAATGGTAGTTTCTTTAAATGATAACATTTCTCACAATAATAAACAAAGTCATAACTTATGTGATAAATTCATCCAAATTTCATAATTTATAAATATTATCTTCAATTAAACTATTTGAGTTTTTATTTAGATATTTAACATCATTCATTTGCATTCTTCATGAATTTCTACTTAACTTATTTCTTGCTCATGTTTAAGATAACATTTATGTATATTTCATGTGCAATAAATGATCAATAAATGGCAATACATATTGGTTTATCTTAGAGGCTATCAAAAATCTTAAATGCATGCCATATTGGTTTATCTTAGAGGATATAAAAAATCTTAAATGTCATGCCATATTGGTTTCCCATCATTCAAATTTCTAACTAGTTTTAAGATTTTAATATAGAGAAATAAGGGAAGACATAATAGGTTTTTATTCCAATTTATTTATAATTTCAACAATTATAATGACTAATTAGTTTTTAATGATTGCCCTTGACCTCTCTACAATCTCAAGATTCTTGCTATTTTTCTTGTAGAGAATAAATTATAATTTGAGCAGTTTTAAAAATTTGGTCAAACTACAACGACATTGAGTTGAGGAGAAAATTCAATTCCTCAACCTTATTAAATTTAAAAGTTTTCTATTACTAGATACCTTCCCAACTCGAAGAGGACAAAGGAAATCAAGCATAACTTGACATCTTCTTTATTGAATTTCGCACACATCTCAAGTCAATGCATATGACTAAAATTCTTCCTTGTTTTTTTGAGAAATACTTGTAATTAAATCTTTATTTGGCCACACAAGTAAGTTTGTCATTACGATTCGTGATATATTTCTTAGAGTCATGAATTTTGATGATAATTTTAGGTTGAAATCGTGTGGGAAGTGAGTCTAATGTTAGACAATTGTGATTGACCTTTAGTTTGGTTAGTAAAACCCAAGGTGAAGGTGTTCTTAGAATGTAGACATAGGTAGGTAACGTGAACTATTTGTTGTATAATATATCACACAAATTGAAAATTTATAAAACTTGAAAAATACTAATTTTTATATTTTAAGAAATATTTTAGATAAAAAAATTAATTATAATTTGATAAAAGATTTCAAAAATAGTAAGAAATTTCCAAGTCAATCAAGGGACATAAGATAGTATTTGAAAATATTTAAAAATTTTCTTCAAAGAATACGAGTTTTTATAATTTTTAAACTAAATGATGAATATAAAATATATTTAAAAATTCATAAAAAGGAAAATAAAGCTGCGGATGTCAAGATGACATCAACACCTTGATGAATGTGATTCAGGTAAAAATAGAGTTCTACTTAGTGATTCATACATAAATCATTACATATAATTTAATTAATCAAATTAAGATATGTAAAAGCTAGAAGAATCATAAGTAAATGAAGAAGGTTTTTGAAATTAGAAATCACACAAAATCTCACTAAATTAAACAATATTAAGTTTACAATAGAAAATATAGAGTTTCGACTTCGCGGTGGCAATTGCTAGAATTTTCTGTGTTCGATGAAATTTATAAATCAATGAAATGGGTTGACATAGAGAATCTTTAGATTTTTCTATGAAGTATATAAATTAATGAAATGAGTTGACAAATCATTTTCGACGACTATCATCTAAGAGAGCAGAAAAATGACTACTTTTGAATCTCTAACAATTGTCACCTGATGGAAATAAGTTGGATAGAGGTGGGGTGTATCTTAAGGAGCTTTATCTTTAAGTTCATGTAGCAAGATGAGGCTTTTTATCAAATCTAGTACACTCCTAGGAAGTGGTGACTCATCTTTCAGTGGATAATCATCTTTTCAATGACACCTGATTTGTTGATTAATTGGAGATTATTTACTTGATAAATTTATGATTTTTTTATCTAGAATCAAATGATAATTGATAATGATGCTTTGCGAATTGTGTTGGCGACATTTTTTCTGATGATTGAACGATTATGATGGCTTAATTGTTGATTGACACTTTGTATAAAAATTATGATTTAATTAGATAAAAATATGAGTTTTGGTTCTAGTAAGATTCAAACTTTTGTTGGTCAACTACTTGTGTGTGAGAGAGGTAGTCAATTATTAGATTTGAAGAAAAAAGTTTAATAAATGTTACCTTCCTTTAGTTTGATCCACTCCTTGCCTTGCTGTTCTTTGTTTCTTTTTACATAAAAGAAGAAAATAGAAATAAGAGTTAAATTATTTTTGTGTACTCTAAGCCAAAAAGAGAAAAATAGAAAATATTATGTAATACATCCTCAACAATGGCACCAAAAATTAACTTGACCTAATCATTGATTAATTAATGACATAAATTTAAAATTTGTAAACCTTGAAAATATTAAATTTTAGATTTTTAGAAATATTTGAGAATAAATAAATAAATTATAATTTGATAAAAGGTTTAAAAAATAAGAAATTTTCATGTCAATCACAGATATGTAAGAAGTATATGATAATGTTTCAAAATTTTCTTGAAAGAATTCAAGTTTTTACGATTTTTAGACTAAATGATGAATATAAAGTATATTTAAAAATTTATAAAAAAGAGAAATAAGGGTGGGGGTGTTAGAATGACATTAATACCCTAATGAACGTGATTATAAAAGTTACAACAATCTCACTAAATTTCATTCGGTGATTCTTATGTAAATAATTACAATGATTTAATTGATCAAAGTAAGATTTATAAAAGTTAGAACAATCGTAATTGAATAAAAAAGTTTTTTAAAGTTATAAATCACACAAAATCTCACTAAATTAAGTAAACATTAAGTTTAGGATAATAAAGGTAGAGTTTCGACTTGACAATGATGATCGTCAAAATTTTGTGTATTTTGGAGGATTGTTGTTCAATATCTAAGGCCTCAAAGGTTCTTTGTGGACATAGACAATGTAGATAATATTTAGATCTTTTTGTAAAGTTTACAAACCAATGAAATAGGTTGACGAAATGCCTCTAGTGGCTATCACTCAATAGAGTGGAAAAATAATTTTTTTTTGAATCTTTGACAACTAACACCTGACATAAATAAGTTAGATAGAGATAGGGTGCATCTTATGGAGTTTTATCCTTAAGTTTGCATAGCAAGAGGAAGCTAGTCATCATATTTAATATGGTCTTAGGAGATGGTTACTTGTCTTTTGACAGACGGGCTTATTTCTAATGAT